TACGTGAAGCAAAAACGTTGTATCCCTTTTTACGAAAATTGCGCGGACGGAGGAGTATGAAATTTTCCACACTTATAGAGAATATAGAGAAGAAGTGCACAAAGCTAATATTTTTTTTAAATAATCCATTAAAGATACATTAAATCAATAAAGAAAACATTACACACACTACATACCATGTATTTGACGCACACACGCAAGCATACTATTTATTGTCAAACTTTTGTTCTTGACGTCTGTTGTCAAATTGAGATTAAATATTGTTTGTCTTTATTAATATTTTTTTATAGTGTAGTCTTGGGGAAATTGTTTATTATAGAAGTATAAAATACAATCATAACAGTGTACAAACTTACAATTCCAATTAATTATAGTCGAATTTCGACTACTGCGGGGCCTCTAGTATAAATAAACCTACAGTGGTTTTTACGGATGTTCCGTTATAACTACTGAACCATGCATCCGATTGACTTGAAACTTGGTATCCATGTAGAAAATACATGTACTTAATGGATAGGCTAATATTTATATGAGTGTTGCACTCCCTAATAATAATGACAATAAATAATAGTGTTAATTTTAAATGCCCAGCGAAGCGGGCGAGTACGGCTAGTCTGTTTATATATTTAGTTCAATAAGAATTGCTCGTTTAAAGACATCAATAACTCTTCGAAGGTCCTAAATGAAGCTGCAATGAAGCAGGGTAGGGTAAATTGAACTCATTACACTGTCTGCTTCGCGGTCTGACTTGAATAAGGGTGCGTTCACGTTGCGCTCCCAATGGGATGCCATTAGTGATATATTTATTTTGGATAGATGGGTGGACAAGCTCACAGCCCACCTGGAGTTAAGTGGTTACCGGAGCCCATACACATCTACAACGTAAATGCCGCCACCCAGCTTGAGATATGAGTTCTAATGTCTCAGTATAGTCACAACGACTGCCCCACCCTTCAAACCGAAACGCATTACTGCTTCACGACAGAAATCGGCAGGGCGGTGGTACCTACCCGTGCGGACTCACAAGAGGTCCTACCACCAGTAAAATATTCCTCTTATATTCATGGTTCACTAATTTTGGGTAATTGCTTAGACATGAAAAATAGATATATGCTGTCGCGGGCTTTTTTTCTAGGACTATTTAAGAAAAACATTTCCTATTTACATTTTAAACTACACGTATCCAACGGTTATTGGGGCGCACACAAGATCTCTCGCAGATGGCAGATTTTATGCCTTCTTACTTGACATTTCTCGTTATATTTTGGCTAATTCACACTATATCTTTATAAATTATAGTCTATGTGATATTTTGATATGTCAGCTATGTTATTGTAAAGCTTCATCGAAATCCATTCAGTAGTTTTTGTGTGAAATAGTAACAATACCTACATACACTCTTACAAACTTTCGGGTTTATAATATTGGTAGAATTAACCATTGTAATTGACCGTCTAGTGAAGGTTTATATCATAGTACCAGCTGATAATCCGTGAATACTTAAAAAAAAACCTATGATTTTCGACACAATGAACCATCACTAAAGTATTTCTATACTCAGTATTTATAGCTATCTTTATATTAATACGCGAAGCAAAAACTTTGTATCCCTTTTTAAGAAAATTGCGCGGACGGAGGAGTATGAAATTTTCCACACTTATAGAGAATATAGAGAAGAAGTGCACAATCCTAATATTTTTTTAAAATAATGCATAAAAGATATATTGATTCAATAAAGAAAACATTATACACACTACTATTTACTGTCAAACTTTTGTTCTTGACGTCTGTTGTCAAATTAAGATTAAATATTGTTTGTCTTTGTTAATATTTTTTATAGTGTAGTCTTGGCGAAATTTGTGATTATAGAAGTATAAAATACAATCATAATAGTGTACAAACTTACAATTCCAATTAATTATAGTCGAATTTCGACTACTGCGGGACCTCTAGTATGATATAAATACCTATTAGCAAAAATATTGTTAACCTTTAAATCATGTACTATTTTACATTAATGTAACATTAAACTCGTCCCTAGGAAAGGGCGAGGGTTACCGTTCAAATTAACCGGCTATTACGTCACACGGGTCAGTTTTAACCAAAGTTAAATTGCTTTCCCGAAAACGACTTCTTTGGATTACAACAGTACCTGAGTATTAGATCGAATTGATCTGAATCTCATTTCAGAGATGCGACTTTGCCAAAACGCAAATTCTTAGATAATTGATTCATAAACAAAATTAAATACGTATCCAACAATTACTACTTTAAATACTACTTAAAATAATATGGTTTTTTTGGAACGATGTTCCCTATGACACGATGCGGAGGGGTATCCTAACCGGGAAAAAACGTCCGTAACGTAAAAGAGTTTTATTAGTAATGCACACAGTGTGCGACTTAACTTTATAATAACGTACAAAAAATAACTATATTTTTTATCATTCATTGACCACGATCTCAGAGCGTAAAGTGTATTTGCGCAATACTGCCGTATACCATACATACTCTTATGCAAACAAGCGTGAATGAAGTGTACCACAATAAGTTCGCACGTTACCGAATGACCGTGGGTTGTTGCGAAACCTCCAGTTTTATTTTCTTTATACCTCGAATAGAACTTAAAATTAATGTTTTTATAATAAGAAACTTCGTTCCTATCTGGTGTCCCACGGCACCACACATATTTTTTTCCAAATAGATAACTAGACACAGACGTGCGAACGAGCTCGCGGCCCACCTGATGTTAATTAGTTACACTTTGACACATGAGTTTCAGTTCTACAGGCAGATCTCCTACCCTCTAAACCACTTAGACACAACTGCGTCGCGAGAGATTTCTCTATTCTCTCTTCTCTCTGTTCTCTGCCTATTTAGGCAGAGTGGTGGCACCTCTCCGTGCTGCCTCACAAGGCGCTCGACCAGTGATTGCGCAAATCATTCCGGTTCGGTTCCGAACACCTGCACTGTCGCATCGCTCGATACCAATGTGTCGGGCACCTTATCCTTTAGGCCACGATGAAAAGTCTTAAGAGCAAGTACGTTTTCTATTATCGCCCTTGTTTGCAGACGAGTTTACGGCCCGCCTGATGGTGAGTAGTTACGGTTGCCCAGAGACTTCAACAATGCCAAGGGCAGAGGCAGGCCGCTGCCTACCGCTTAATACTCTCCACAAGCCTCATTTGAAAAAGGACATGTCATAGCGCTCCGGAAACCCCGTGGCAAAAGAGATCTCTGGAAACGCACTGTAAGTGAACGCAGTGGCTCCAGGTAGTATGGATGAGCTCTACTCCGGTGGCGGGCGGTAGGATGGTATAAACGAGATGATGGCATCATCTCAAACAATTCCTCAGAGCACTCCTCATTGAACATACGGTACAAAATACTGAGGGAACCGAAGTTCCTCCACAGACCCAGAGGTTCCAAACGAACCGTGAGAATGGGATTATCGACTTGCCGTGTGCCATACAAACTTTATACGAAGCCTTTGTTTTATGTTAACGCACTGAGCATTATCTGTCGATTCTATAAATAAATGTGGCCTAAAGTGACATCGTTTATTTCAGTGTTCTGGAGTCAGGAAGTCATCACATTATTGCCAACGTTACGAATACTTAACAGTTGTCGTAGTAGGGGACGACTTCCCACAAGTTTATCGCCGGATCTTCTCGGTGGGTCGCGGTTCTGATCCGGTAGAAGATTCTGCGAAGCACTGCTCTTGCTAGGGGTCAGTGTTAGCATACTCTCTCAGGTTGATTCAGTGAGCTCACCTAACCGTCAGGACGTAGCTGGAATAGCCCCTTAGGCTACCAGCGAATGGGTAGAGAAAAAAACGTTAGGCGAGAAAAAAGCGTTAAGGTACCGTACGCTTTCGAACCGCCATTCTAATATATTTGAGACTACGACCTCTTGTCTCAAAGGACAGCGAACATTAACCATACGACGAACGCAAATCCCCCTTGACCTGTGTGCTTAGTGCGAGTTTTTTAACGTTCTCGATAGCGTAAAAGTTAACTCAAATTTGTATGGAGTTGGAACGTTTGCCTATGTTTGCCGCTAGGGGCGCTGTTCCAACTGCATACAAATTTGAGTTAACTTTTACGCTATCGAGAACGTTAAAAAGCTCGCACTAAGCACACTACACACACAGATATCGTTCCGCAGAAAAAAATGTTTCGACGCAAAAACATCACCCCCAAAATGAAACTACAAATCCGAAATACATATCATGTTTTATTTGTTTAAATAAATAAAATCTTAGAATAAAGACTAACAATATACGTGCGACTGTAAATAGTCAAACATAAGGTTTCAGCTTCTCAAGTGACCCTATCTAACGGTGAGGAGAGCTGAAGATCGGGTTCAGTGGTGTGGATTGGAAGAGGCTTGTGTCTACAGGATGACCGGGTTGATTATGATGATGAAACAACCCTCTTATATAGGGTGTTGCTTTTTTTATTAAAAAAAACACGTGTGGCACTCGGGGACTGCCGCGGTAAAGCTATTGCATAGTACTTTTTATCATCTTATGCAATTATAATCAGACAATAATAATTTAATATTAAAACAATAATAAGATAAGACCACGCTATATTTATAAACATGAACAAAAGCAAAACATTAACTGTCCCCTTCACACTAATAAGCTAGACCGCGCGAGAGAGAGAGATGGGTAGACTTTTCATGATGCGCATGCAGTACGACGTCACACCACGCTCTTGTTCACAAACACTACACAAGCGCAACGTGTGTATGTGTTGAAACAGAGCTACATGGTAGGCGGAGTGTGGGATGCTAGGTTTTATTTTCGTTACGGAATTTCTTGATTCGGTCATCGCGCTCAAAGCCCGCGATAAAAGCTATGCAATAGCTTAAAAATGTTTATAGCGACCCACCCCGACTTTGTAAGTTTGTACCGCTAAATCAACAATATTGTGCTCAGAGTATATTAATTATTCATAATAGTGATGTATCAAATGAAATCTCAGTAATATTGTATTTATTTATTGCTTTATTCAATCTTGAATGAGGGCAGAGAACTTGTTCGCCATCACCGCCGTCTCAGCGCTGTCGTCGTCGTCATCGTCGTCATCGTCATCATCGTTGTCATCTGTGTCCTCATGATCGCTGCCGGCGTCGCTACTGACCACGGGCGATGACTCGCCAGCGTCCCCTTCGCTCAACGATTGGACCCACTTCACGTATTTTATCTCATCGCACTTCTCGAAATACTCTGTAAATGACGATCACAATCAGTATCAATCCATAATCCACCTATTATCCTATATCTATCTCCTTTTTTGAGTGTTTTTGAATGGAAATGGTGTTTTGGTGTGCAATAAAGTGCACACCAAAACTTCCTCCGTCTCCCTCCCAGTTTCCCTGTCCCTGTCCCTGTCCCTGTCCCTGTCCCTGTCCCTGTCCCTGTCCCTGTCCCTGTCCCTGTCCCTGTCCCTGTCCCTGTCCCTGTCCCTGTCCCTGTCCCTGTCCCTGTCCCTGTCCCTGTCCCTGTCCCTGTCCCTGTCCCTGTCCCTGTCCCTGTCCCTGTCCCTGTCCCTGTCCCTGTCCCTGTCCCTGTCCCTGTCCCTGTCCCTGTCCCTGTCCCTGTCCCTGTCCCTGTCCCTGTCCCTGTCCCTGTCCCTGTCCCTGTCCCTGTCCCTGTCCCTGTCCCTGTCCCTGTCCCTGTCCCTGTCCCTGTCCCTGTCCCTGTCCCTGTCCCTGTCCCTGTCCCTGTCCCTGTCCCTGTCCCTGTCCCTGTCCCTGTCCCTGTCCCTGTCCCTGTCCCTGTCCCTGTCCCTGTCCCTGTCCCTGTCCCTGTCCCTGTCCCTGTCCCTGTCCCTGTCNTTCCCTTCCCTTCCCTTCCCTTCCCTTCCCTTCCCTTCCCTTTCTTAAAGTTACACTTTCTTCCCTGTACAGCGGGACTAAAACCGAACTTTTGGCGTAGGTAGGAGAAAAATAAAATAACAGTAAAATAAAAGTTACCTTTTTTTTCAGTGTAGCCGGGAGGCCGCAGCCAAAGGCATATTCTACCGTCCAACGCCATCCTGAGCAGGCTGTTCGCGGCTCTGTACGTGTCCAATCTGTAACAAGTGTTAATCATATTTCTTGATCACTAGTCCCCCATTGACAATATTCAAAGTTGAAGCGAGAAAGGCATAAATAAATAAATCAATTGATTGTAAAGTTGGTCTACAGACGATAGTTTTACGTGATAACGTCAGTAGTGGAACTATTCGAACTGCTAGCTCTGACGTCACATTAGAAGAGAGATAAATGTGCCACAAGCCAACGCTTGGGCAGATCGTGCCTCTCTATCGCTTGATCCGCGCTCTCGCTCGCACGCTCAGGCTCAGTCGGGACGTGACAATATTTCGTGCGTGTAGCCCGTGTACATCGATTTAAAAGACGTTATAACGTCAACATTTTTGAAGTGAAACTTCTTTAGGCGCGTTGAGAGAAACTTAACTCGCGACAGATTCGTTACGGCCAGAGAGAAAAAATACAGTTTAGGACGAGCGAGAATGAGAAAATAGACAGAGCGTCTCTCGACCGTGACCAGGGAGAAAGCGAGTTAGGTCGTTTCTCTTATACACATTCTGTTTACGGGCGTCGACCGCTAGATGTCTTGTTATTAGTTTCTCATTGCTCCTGTAGATGTCAGTAACATATTAACTATATCTTATAATTTATTTTTTGAAGAGGTCGTTCTTCTTATACTCAGCATTCCCTCTTACAAGAGAAATTTTATCTAATGATGAAAAATGAAGACAACCACAATACTGTAAAACACCGAAAAAGAAGTTTCACTTCTTTCATGTGTACCAAGTTTCACGTTAGAATTTCTTTACTGAAAGTTAAATTACGCTACAATAGTCCTTGCTTTTACGAACACCTGAGTTCTAATTACCTGGCAGATTTCGCTGTCAGATAACTGCGTTTCTTCGCCCAGCCATCGCAGATGTCCCTGGGCGACCACGTGTCGTCGTTGTCCGGGTGCTCGATGCGCAACAGCTGTGGTAGGTTTAGTCTCTCACCCAAGTACCTGCAAACAGGCCGGGTTAAGTTAAGACCACCTGGTGTTAAGTGATTACTGGAACCCATAGACATCTACAACGTAAATGCCGCCACCCACCTTGAGATAAAAGTTCTAAGGTCTCAGTGTAGTTACAACGGCTGCCCCGCCCTTCAAACCGAAACGCATTACTGCTTCACGGCAGAAATAGGCAGGGCGATGGTACCTACCCGCGCGGACACACAAGAGGTCCTACCACCAGTAATTACGCTAATTATAATTTTGCGGGTTTAATTTTTATTACACGATGTTATTCCTTCAGCGTCGAAGTCAATCATGAACATTTGTTAAGTACGTATTTCATTAGAAAAATTGGTACCTGTCTGCGGGATTCGAACACCGGTGCATCGCTAGATACGAAAGCACCGGACGTCTTATCCTTTAGGCCACGACGATTTCAGCACCGGGCGGCTGGGGAGTGGCTTACCTTATGGCGGTGTACGGCTCCCTGAGCTGGGCTATGGGATATGAACCCATCAGGATCTGTATGGGCCTAGGCACCTTCGACGGAAACACCAGCCCGGGACAGTCGCACAGACGTACCTTCAATAAAATACATATCGAGGGATGAAAGACTATTTGGGGTTAAGCGAATTTTTTGCAACTTTAAAGTTTAAGCATTTGGAAAAAATATCATTTAGAAAAAACTTAATTTAAATCGACGCGCGCGAATCTTTTTTTTTAAGGGATTTAATGACCTGGTAACTGAGACCTTTAAGTCATGTCTTATTTTAATTTATATTCATATTTTTATGAAAAATGATATTATGGAGTGAAATCAAATGAAGATGATTAATTACGCACGCGAATCTCGTAGCATGACGTCACGGGACACCTGCGCGTTCTGGAACTCCGATCGCGTCCGATGACGCCCGAGTGCGACCGAATGTTACACGCTACAAGATCTTCCTTTTGTCGTATACCTACACTGGGCACGCACCTGCGGCGTCAGGTACACGGTCTGGAAGTGCTTGGTGTGGCCCGGGGTCCGCGACACGGAGACCACCTTGCGGCCCATCACGGAGTTCATGAGCGAGGACTTGCCGACGTTGGGCTGGCCCACGCAGCCGACGGTCAGCGTGCCGTTCCTGTACCGCTCGTGAGCAAAGTACGTGGTGTCGGCCTTCTGGATTATCGCTTCACCTTTATAATAATAATAATAATAATAATACTGCACGTATTGTGAGATTTCTCATTCTGGAGTCCGCACCACTGGTGGCTTGTGTCGTAGACACCGCCATCAGCAGCAATCTATTTCTATATAGTGTTTTCTAAAAATTGTACTTTTAATATATTTTTAAAAAAATATTGTCCACGACCCTCGGGACCACTGCCCCACTGCACCACCGAGTCAGTCACACAAGGTAAGAAATTTCACTGCACACAATCCCGCTTATTACTATCGCGACGCTATCATATATTCTAGTTTAATAGGTGAGACACAGACCTCAATTGAGACTCATGACAAGTGGCTGCATTCACGATATGATATCTATCGGACTACTTAACATCAGATGGGCCGCGTGTACGTCCATCCTTAGCACCGTGAAAAGCTCACCAATCTCTTTTTCATCCTCGTCAAAGTCGATTTCCGTCTCGTCCCGTATCTTCTTCTCCCACGATGAAAGATCCACTTCTCCGTTGACTATGTCCTTGCATGCTTCTAGAATCTTCGTGGCCCCTTCCGAGCACATTCTCTGTCTCCCTTTACGACGACGGACCTGTAGACCTGAATGAGATTACCACCTGATTAATAGATTATTTACATCCGTTTACTGGTGGTAGGACGTATTATGAGCACGCGAGGGTAGGTACCACCACCCTGCCTATTTCTGCCGTGAAGCAGTAATGCGTTTCGGCTTCTAGGGCAGCCGTTGTACTGTAAAACTGAAACATTCTAATTTCTAACTAATTTCTCAAGATGGATCCTTTTGGTGAACACTTCACACCAGGTAAGCCGTGAGCTCGTCCACCCATATTAGCAATAAAAATAAAATAAATAAATGAAAAGATAATTAATGCGAACTACGGTATGTACGTATGGTATTTATTAGATTTTACTGGACTTTATTAGATTTAGACTTAATCGATAATTCTCTACGGGCTCTTGCATAGGAAACAACAAAGAAACGAATCAAGTTCAGAAATAGTTCAACAAGCTGTATGTATCTACACAGAGCCCTATGGCAATTGTAGATTTTAACGCAATAAAAAAATAAAAAAACATGTGTTCACCAATTCACACGTGCTAGAAGTGAAACCTTCAAAAATTTTAATACAATTATCCTAAATGTCTAAGTATATGTAAAATTTTGTCATTAGTAAATAATTATTGTAAATCATCTTTTACAGTATGAGGTAGCACCCTCTGTGAATTGATATTTTAACATCACATATAATCCTAAATTAAAATTCACTCACAAGCGGTTTCATACACACTTTAGTATTAAAAAATCTCATAGATGGCGCTGTGTTAAAAAAAAAACACTACACTGAGAACAGCTAATGTGTTCTATCTCATTCTCTCGCCGGCTGAATCCTATACATTCATGTGTTTGTGTCTCTATGGACTTATTTTTTCGTTTCATCGAGTTTGAAATCACAACGTTTCTAAAGAAGTTTCACTTCAAAAACAGTAAAATTGACAGCAAATACCTGCTTTATCGCTTGATGCTCCCCTCAGATTGTAGCTGGGGCACGAAGTGAAGTAAACTACCCTCAATCCAGGATATTTCTCCACGAAATACTCCTTCCAGGCTGCGACCACGCCGGCCGGCACCAAGTCTATCTTATTCATTACGACTATCATATTCTTGTGTTGATCTTTCACTATGTATTCATATAGAGACGGCGGGAACATCATGCCCTAAAACGATATTGAAAAAAAAAGACTTATTCAAATTTAATTTCATTGTGAACCAAGCTTAAAATCCAGATAATATGTATTTATGGGCCACCAGTCACCTCATAAATTTCACAATGTTAATACCTTGAGACATACAAGTTTGTGCTTTTAACTGTATTGTAAAGTGGAAGTTCTAATACCAGGTCAGCGGTTCTCAACCCTTTTTAGCCGACTTCAAAAGGAGGAGGTTCTCAATTCGAATGTATGTTTTTTTTATGTTTGTTACCTCATAACTTTTGACCGGGCGAATCTATTTTGACGATTATTTTTTTATTGGAAAGCTGACGCTTCCCGGGTGGTCCTATTACAATTTACTTCAATTTACTCCAGTTCTGATAATGGCATCCATGAGAAAACCATATAAGTCTTAAATTTGCATTAAGTACGTGCGCGACAAATAGATGAATAACTCAATAACTCAATATCACGCCAACCGATTTCGATGATTATTGTTTTCAGTGTATATTAATTTGTTTTGGAATATATTTTTTTCTATTTGAAATCAGTTTTTGTTAAAGCATGTATATTTATAATTATTTATTCAGCGACACGACTAACATACTCTACAAATTCACCTTATATATACATATACTATCTTATATTATACTCATATGCAAAAAAAATATATAATATTTTTTTAGTATATATAGACTTGCATTTGTTAAATTATCAACCATTATCTATTAAAAATAGTTGTACATCTCATACCTAGTAAGCAGTTGTATATTTACTGCATATGGACTCTAGAGAACCTATTACCGGACGTCAGCTTAGTTTAAAAATATGCTGTTTGTGAATCCTCCTGTGACACATGATACTTGACTTACAACATTGTGGTTGAGAGCCACTGGACGTAAACCATTGAATAAGCAATGATTTATTTCCAACATACCATTACCTAACAACGATCTTTAGTGAGGGTATCTATTCTCCTTACATTTAATTAAGTAATAAAACACAATATAAACAAAATATTCTTACAGCATATCTAACGTCGACAATCAAAAGGAGAATGTCACACATTTCTAGAACCCTCCACAATTGACGCCATGTCTCCAGATTCATTTCAAAATAGGAAATGTCCTTCCAATGTTCCGAGGCTTGCAGTTTATCTATGTAGTTCTGTAAGAAAACGTTTGAGTTCCACAAAATTTTTGAAGTTATACTTCTTTAGACGCGTTATGAAAAATTTATGAGAGTGAAATTTTACGATGCGCGCGCACCGTGACACAAAAATAACAGAATGAAGTTGCCCACTAAATCGCTCATAACAATACGACCGACGTAGCTTGGCGAGTCTGAATATAGCCGCAGGTGAACTTTCGCGCATGTACACAGTGTTCACTCGTAAAAAAAAGTGTTATTAGCTTTCATTTTTTAGTAATATAAATGACAAAATTATTATTTAATATAATTCATACTAAATATTGATAAATTATTATCGTTAAATATTTATTACAAAATATTTATATTTAAAAAAAAAAAAATTTAATAAAAATAAAGTATAACTTCTTACGCGCGTACATAAGTACATGCACCCTTTTTTTTTACAAGTAATACCAAAAGCAACTGTGTTATAGAGATTTTAATGAATAAATATTCATTATTAGTGTCAATTTACTTATTAATAAAGAATAAGTCACCTTGAAATATCTATGCTCTTGTGCATCTAATTGTGCCGCTGTCATATTGAAGTCCCACGGTGGTCTTCTAGGAAAGGACAAGTCGACAGGAAAATAATCTAAGGAGTTAATCTCCATTTCTTTCTCTGGAACAGGACTCAGAGCTCTCCTGAAATAATTAGCCAGCCTTCAAACCAGAACTCATGACAGCGTCGTGGCAGAAATAAGCAGGATGATTGTACCTATCCGTGGAGTCTTAAAATACTACCTAACAAAAGAAATTAGGCATATTATATTCTACCTTATCGATGGTATTGTAACAGTTAACCTATGTAGATTAGGAGTGGGTGATATAAATCGTATATAGATTCAATATCTATATATCGCTCCACACGGATTTCCTCCCGGATTAGGAGGAGGAATCTCACACCCCCGATTACTCTCTTTAGACAAACGATACCCTGGGCCAGGAAGGTCAAGTACCTGGGCGTTACCCTGGATGCATCGATGACATTCCGCCCGCATATAAAATCAGTTCGTGACCGTGCCGCGTTTATTCTCGGTAGACTCTACCCCATGATCTGTAAGCGGAGTAAAATGTCCCTTCGGAACAAGGTGACACTTTACAAAACTTGCATAAGGCCCGTCATGACTTACGCGAGTGTGGTGTTCGCTCACGCGGCCCGCACACACATAGACACCCTCCAATCCCTACAATCCCGCTTTTGCAGGTTAGCTGTCGGGGCTCCGTGGTTCGTGAGGAACGTTGACCTACACGACGACCTGGGCCTCGAATCAATTCGGAAATACATGAAGTCAGCGTCGGAACGATACTTCGATAAGGCTATGCGTCATGATAATCGCCTTATCGTTGCCGCCGCTGACTACTCCCCGAATCCTGATCATGCAGGAGCCAGTCACCGTCGACGCCCTAGACACGTCCTTACGGATCCATCAGATCCAATAACCTTTGCATTAGATGCCTTCAGCTCTAATACTAGGGGCAGGCTTAGGGACCCCTCGGTAACCGTACTCGTGCAACTCGACAAAGAGGTCGACGTGCACACTAACCCATGCATCAGCCCGCTGAGTTTCTCACCGGATCTTCTCAGCGGGTCGCGATTCCGATCCGGTAGTAGATTCATTCGCGAAACAAGTTGCTGTTGAGTTGTTAGGCCTCCTTCGGAGGCGCTCGGGCAGTTGTTAGCAAATCCCACCCCTCTTGGCTGAGCCTTTGCTCGCCCACCTGTCCTGGTGAAACTGGAAAGGCCTTCGGGCCACCAGTAAACTTTCAATCATATCTATATATCGCAGCAATATCGTTGAATCCGATATCGCCCCGCACGAAATCTATATATCGATATCAGCCGATACACGATATTGCTCGATGTGATGCGCATCGCCATATCGTACCGATTCGTGAATCGAAATCTATATTTCGATATCAGCCGATACACGATATTGCTCGATGTGATGCGCATCGGCATATCGTACCGATTCGTTGAATATCAGCAATATTCGTTTGGTTCGTATCGAATCGGCCAGAGTGAGTGAGCGGACGATATCCCTATCGTGCGCTCACTCACATATGATGAATGAAACAGAAACAGGCATTATCCATACAATTATAAACCTTATATTTAAGTCCATACGTCTGTCGATTATTCTTAGTGTATCAGCAGGATACAATTTAGGAAAAAAGTTTCAACTTTCGACCCTAATTAGAATGCAGTATAGCCTATTTGCACCGTTGAATTTAATTTCACGCGCTTTGACCTTGAACTAAAATTTTTGGATAAGTGTTTATAAATACTTAAAAGTTTTTTGTATTTGATTTTTAAAGTACACATTTTTCTATTTTTAGTTAAATCCAAATAATTGAGTTTATTTGTTGTGTTTGTATTAAACTTTTGAAAGTTTAGAAACTTTTATTTTAACATAAACTTAGTAAATAATAAAATTTCTGAATTAATTTTGTAGTGTATGATGTATAAATATTATCAAATGAACTTCTAAATACGTCTCCGATATTTTCTCGAGACTTCATCTAGGCAATACTCACGTTAGGTACCTTAGGCGCGAACGAAATCGCGAATGTTACCTAAAATATATGTATTTAGTATTATGAAATATTCTACCTAATCTACACTCTTTTGGTATATTTTGTAATTTTAAATTAAGACACAAAATACTAAAAACTGAAAATCATGTAGCCGGTCCTAAGCCTGGTAAAAGCATGAAGGAAAGTTTTTTTGATATTTTTATTTTCATGTTCTTTTTATTACTTTAAAATCATATTATTATTATAAATTGATATCAGAAAACCAACCGTATAACGTTGACTTGAATCGATATCTACTACAATACTATATCATCGTATCGTTTCAAATCTCAAATATCATGAATCGAGAAAATCTACTAGCATCCATCAATATATAGATTCAGAAAATATATAGATTCAATATCCGATATTGATCCTCGATATATAGATACGATTCGATACGCGGCAAAACCGATATTACCCACTCCTAATGTAGATTAACTGTCTACAATACTTAATACGTTTTTAGTAGAGGTAGTTACTGACGCGGTAGTACAAAGATATTTGACAATTGCCTGAATCGCACTGATGACCTTTTACATACAAATTCTGAACAATAATATTCAAACCATCAGTCTATCGACAAATCTAGCCAACTTGGTAGAAGATTGTTGTTACACCCAAATTGGTGTTCCGACACTTACATGTAAATTTTAAAGTACAAACAAATTGATTTTAACAGAAATAAGCTCAATTGTTATACAAAAACTGAGAAAATTTTCTATTTTATTCATTTTCACTGAACTCACAGAGCATCTTCCTTTTTAATTTTAAGCTCATCTTCAGTTTCACGGTAGAACTTTAGTGCATATCTGTTTGTGTCCCGTCCTCCGCGTCCACGACTCGGCTGGTAGTTGACTGAGACCACATCGTATGCATTTGTTCCTGTCGATGCTGAAATAAAGAGGAAGCAATTGCTGAACGCTATAAAAAGATAAACAAACATACTCTCACTTTTTTAACTGGAACTGGAACACTTGGAACCCTCAAAAAGGCCAGTTACTTCTGCGGTAGTAGCTAATTCAATTTTGTAGAAATTCAGGACAAATATGTGATAATACATACTAGGCATAAGTAAAACCTTGTTCTGCTTCTTAGACTGCAGCTGTTGTTTTTTGGCCTTCCCGCTGAACGGGGTCTTCCGACGTGCTTGGGGCATGACGAGTAACTCTGTTAATTATGGACAATGTTAATAAGAAGTAATCATCTCTACAACTGTTGAACTGCAAGTACAGTTTTAATATTTTTCTGGGTATTTTAATTCTTTTATTGAATAATATAACGTCATAGTATTTTACCATTATACTTTTTCTCGCTATGATGACCAGATTTTAAGATACAAAAGTAACGCTTACATGTGTAAGTGTAAACTCAAAAAATGTAGATACTGGGTAATGTATTATTTATCAAATATACTAAACTAATTGATCGTAATAAACGATTAAGAATCTGATTTTCAAAAACCGTAACCGATTTTTAACCGTAATTAAATCAAGAATTAATAAACTTAACTAATTAATAAAGAGAAAAACTAAAATTTGGAACACGAGGTCTCCTTGGAATATTATAATTGTACAGAAATAGTTTCAAACTTACGTTAGACTCAAAACAAGAAATCTATTCCTAATTTCTCACTGAAGGGCTTGAACTTATTATCTTTTTACCTATTTAATTGATTTTCGTGTAAATATGAAAATTATTCTACCGACCGGCTAACAATTGAAAACATTTTTTTTCACAGGATTGACAATTGACAGCTGACCAAGAAATTAAAGGCATTGAACTCTGTTTTTTTTTTTCAAATTTAGGATATTTTTTATGGGATTTTATGACCTAGTAACTAAAACCTTTAGGTCAAATCTTATTTTAATTTATTTAATTCTTATTTTTATGAAAAATGATAATATAGAGTGAAATGAAATGAAGATGAAATGAAGTGAGATGAAATTAAATGAAATGAGATGAGATGATATGGGATGAAATATAATCTCAGTAAAATGGTGGTCATTTAATGGGCTCTTTTTCAATGGGCTCTATGGACGATCCCAACAAGCTACATCTAGCGGATTTGTTTCAATTTCCCACATTTGTGCACTTTCATAGATATTATACAGTAAATAAACCACCGTTATTACACATTTAAACCTTAAGAAACACTAAATAGACAAAATAAAACAAATCACACAACTTCACTCCTCGCGTTCCCGCCAAAAAGTAAAAATTTATGATAATTTTGACAGCTCACAGTAAGGATGCGATCATCTGAAATCATTGACTTTGGATTATCGAATATAGATTTATTCTCATGGAACTAGAAATTGATAGTTGCATGGACAGTAAGCTGAATGGTCAAATTAAAACAAAAAAAGTTACATTACATTTAACTATTAGGTCTAGCAACAAAACCCTTCAACGCCAGTTTCGATACCTTCTTTTTTTCATAATTTATCCTATTCAATGCAATTTTTGTAAACGGGTTCACCTTTAGAATGAATTGAAACCAGGAATAAGATTTCTAATTATTTATTACTAATACAATGGTGTGCAACGTAAATTGTTTTATTATTATTCATCATCATCACAAGATTCACTACTACTAGAACTGTCCCTTAACTCTCGAGTTAGACTCGTCTACTTGTAAATTCTTGTTCACAAACTTCATTACATTACCATTGAAGCAATTTTCACTTCTTCTCAAATATTAAGTGTATTATCTGTGCGTCTTCTGACAACTGAGCACTGTCAGTGTCAACCTAAAGTAACCTAAAAAAACAAGAAGTTGACAATACAGTATACACCAAACAACGCGAAAGTAGGAAAATAAACTTCTAATACAAATAAATAATAAACTTCAAAACGAAGTTGATCATTACATCAAAATGTTGCCGCTATCTTTGTTACGGACAGCGCAGAACCACCCTATGCTTGTCGAATTGAAAAATGGCGAAACTTACAATGGTCATCTCGTAAGCTGCGATAATTGGATGAACATTAATTTACGTGAAGTTATTTGCACGTCGAGAGACGGCGACAAGTTCTGGAGGATGCCGGAATGTTATATACGTGGTAGTACGATCAAATACTTGAGAATACCGGACGAGGTCATCGACATGGTGAAGGAGGAGACACAGGTTAAAGCGCGCGGTCGTAACGAGGTTTCCAAGGGACGCGGGCAAAACATGAGGACCGGTGGCCGTGGTGGTAGCCGAGGCGCATTCGGTAACCGCGGCAGAGCACCTCCACTAGCCCGTGGCGGCGGGAACCCGCGACCACAGAACAAAAATAAAAATAAAATGTAAGATAAGTTTTTTAATAAATTAAGTTATTTGGCTAAGGAATAGTTTTGTTTCATTTAAAGTTCAAAATTCCTCCATACATGCTGGTGCAAAGCAACCATATATTTGACCAATTCCAAGATTATTTATTAGTCATAATCCTGATGTAGAATTCATTGAAAATCAATAATATCTAAATAATTTGGAAACTGCAGATGCACAGGTAGTTATGAATTCATCAATCCATTAATATAAAATATTTAAGCTACCCATATCTCTGTAAAATCTAAAATGGGATACAACTTTATAATTTCTTGATATTTTAAGAAAATACATTTTTTAGTTTTATATCTTTAATTGGTTTTCACACTATTCAATTTGTTTCAATATATAAAAAAATCAAAGTATACTGAAATCATTTATTTACAAAAACACTTAAAGTAATAATACTATTGTATAATATGGCAATACCCATTAATGAAATGGTAATAAACAGAGTAAAAAAAACAGTGTATAAGCAATATTTTAATGATGATCCTTGAAACTTGATACAGATAGAGTTATCACATTTGAATGGAACACTTACTTAATTTCTAAGCTGCTAAGAGATGAGGAGTTCCATAGTCAGCATGTTGATCCTGATTATCACAGTTGACAGACCATCAGACTATCTCATCAGAGTTGTCTAATTGTGACTATTTCATTGTAAAACTTAATACCTCATTAAGTTTTTCATCATTTATAATAGAACGTCTTTCAAATATTGAAAATTTAATTTAAAGTTAAATATTCATATTGCTATTCACAATAAGAAATACTATTAATTTTGAATTATTTGCAGACCCTACATCAGTAACCCAAAACATCTATAAATTAGTTTCAAAGATAACATAGACATTTGAGGAGTGCATATTGAAGAGATAAATACTTTGATTTAAATTATTCCTCTTGTAGAATGTTCAACAGTTTATCTTTTAAAATTAATAAAATATTTCATCATAAAATGTGGGTACTAATAACAACTTATTAATGTTAATTTGATTCCTTTTTTACAATGGATAGTCAATAAAAATCTTGTAATAATTAATCAATAAATAGGCAATAAAAAGTTGAAACTTTGTATACTTTTCTGGGGAATGTTTTTAACGTGTACAGTGCAGTGCATACATGTGATAGTTTAGTAATAATTTCAATAATTATATCTATTAAGACTGCTTTTACGATTTAATGTGGTGGGTCGTTCAAGCCAATGAAAACCGTAAAGTATTGAGCCAATGAAAACAATAACAAATGCGAGACAAGTACGAATAAAAGTAAAATATAGTCCCGGTAATGTGTAATATTTTCCCGGTAATTCGGCACTGCTGAGAAACTCATGATTACTGATAGACTGAGGACTGATGAATCTGAATTCACCCTGACAATACAAAATTACGGTATTCACAATAATGAAATATCGGAAGTCATTTAAAGTCGAAGTTTTAAATAGTGTTGAGGATTATATAATTATTCTTATAAAAATGTTTATTTCATATGTTTAGACATACATGGTCACAGCAGAGCGTGACTTGTATTGATTATTTTGGATTATTTGTAGACACATCTACTTTAACAAAAGATGGTCACTGGGAAGAGATATTAAAGTCTTTCAGAAGAAAAATCCCTAAACTTTTTTATCCTAAATTGTGAACTACCTCCAAGGGTTGCACATGTACCGACTGTACAATGTTCTGCATTAAATTAATATTTTGCTGGAAATAGTGATCGCGGTTCGCCAGTTCGATACCCGGATACGGATCCTCCTTCTTAACTGGTTGAGACCTTGTTTGCTGAAAAAAAAAAGAATTTTATTATTCAACATAGCAAAGCTTATTTAACACATATATATGTTCATCACAATATGAGCATTCACGTTATAGTGTTCCAGTACCTTGAGACATGAGGTCAAAATCTAAAATATATTCTTCTCCCATTCTCCAGTCAAATTAGAGTGCAAGAGTAGTTAGTGGAAAAAATAGTCAAAACGCTGGGATACCAGTGAATATCAATAGCTCCTATACATAAATATGTCAGAGACAATTTCTCAATTTCTCCTATTTATCCAAATCACTCTCATAGGAGGGCATTTCGTATATTCAGCAAATAAACTGGGCATAGAGCATATATTACTTTTTAGGACATGCCAACAATGCTCATGGTCCACATGAAAGGAACAATTTTTTCCGACCTATTCTAGTAGCCTCTAGGGATTCTACTAGATTCACAGAATTAGGAGGAGCACAGTTTAAATTTTTGGGCATGACGTTAAGACTGATGTAAATGGAAGGGTTTGAATCGAGCCCTACACCCCAGCAGAGCAATTTTCACCCTCCCTCTAAGCTCTGCGCGTGTTCCACCAACTAGCGTATTATCATGATTAACCCTAACCAGTTTATATCCTCAAACCGCTGACTAGACCCTTCGAGGATGAATAAATTGCAGAAATAAGGGAGAAGCGGATCGTTTGAATTCGAATTACAGTCCACACACGGATCCCTCAGACATTTGTATAAATCAAATTTTAATGGACTTTAAAAAAAAAGTCAAAATATTCAACTGTATTTTTTTACTATGTATTTTTTACTGTATTTTTTTTTGTACTGTATTTTTTTACTATGCTATTTTCATAATTTTTTTTAAATTGAAAGCCAGTGATTACGTGGGATCCTATTAAAATCTAAGTGGTTACCGTCGCCCATGGACTACAGCAATGCCAGAGGCAGAGTCAAGCCGCTACGTACCGCTAACTCTTGCTGCGTTACGACCTCACCTTGTTCCTCTTGCTGTCGTGCATCATCTTCATGTGCTTGTATATTGAGGTCTGCCAAGTGAACGTGGCCGGGCAGAGTTTGCATTTGAAGCTCTTCGCGGTCGACCTCTTCGTGTGCATCGCCCAAACGTGGCCTTTGAGTCGTTTTTCTGTCTTAAAACAAAAAAAATATTAAAATTAATTCGCTTTGTTGCAAAAAAAAAACACATTACAGTGTACAGTATGCTTAGTGCGAGTTTTTTAACGTTCTCGATAGCGTAAAAGTTAGCCCAATTTTGTATGCAGTTGAAATAGCGCCCCTAGCGGTGAACGTACGCAAACGATCCCATTCCATACAAATCCACACAGACGATGTCGTGGGAAAACGCTATTATATAATAAAAAAAATCTTTAAAATCAGATTTTACTTTAATATGTTATATAAAGAGTAATAAATAATCGTAGATAAAAAAAAGCTATGAATCCATGTACTACGTACAAAGTACGCAATGCAACGCAAATATTGGCGCGAAGGGTCAACGCCCTCGCAGTTTGTTTCTATTTATTTTGTAAAAGGGGGAACTAGGTCACGCTCCAGCTGATATAAAGTGACTACCGGAGTCCGTATCGCAATGTTAAGCGTGTCAAACACTGGCAACATACCCGCGTTAAATGTGTGTAACTGTTGGACGGTTAAATTTAAGAGAATCGGGTTCTGTAGGTTGATGAGGGGCTATTTAAAAACACACTGCTTCATTTTAATTATATTGCAGGTACTTTGAACACTGTTACACCATTATAAAATTAATATCTTTATATTTTTATAAAACTCTTACATGTTGTTCTGACCGTGTCTAGATGAGAAGTTCATGATTTTTTCTTACGAGAAGACAATCATCAATTTTTTAAACATTTAAAATCATTCCAATATTCGAATTCTTGTATGTGTCAAGTGTTGCCTGCCATTACGTTTATATTCAAACTCCAACATTAACCTACCTTATAAGACTTCCCGCAGATATCACAGAGACGTTCGCTTTCCTCCTCCTTCTTTTTGCCGCCGTGAATATTATTGACGTGGGCCACTAATATTTTTGAAGTTTTGAAAGCCTGCAAACAAAACACGCAATGTAGACTGAGACAATGTAGACATTAAAACACTGATCTATTTTTACATGACAACGTCTTATAATTCGATGGAGCCAGCTGCACGCACGAAAAAACATGACTAATTGAGGCGTTCCATTTAAGGCTTGAAGTGCAAGCGAGAGCGCGCAACGAGCGACAAAGAGGCACGATCGGCCTCCGCGTTCGGCAGCTTTCGACATCTGTCTCTCTCCTACTTGAGTGAGCGATGCATCCGCGTGGAAAGCTGCTATACAATAATACATTTACATGTTTTCGTTAAGTATGAAGTTCAGTGAAAAGTGAATGTGGTGTCAATTGTTTATAGCAATGATAATTGCGATAATTGAAAAATGAAACCATTCCATCAGTATTTTCATATGACGTTGTCACGTTCAACTATCATCAGTAAACCGACTTTACAGACAACCGATTTTTTTTTGCAGTGGTTTTTGAGGCACTCCCCCCCTATCATGAGGGAAACTTAAACTTTTCTTCTATCGATTCAACTTACCCTCAGTTTTGGGAATATGCAATTTATTTTATAATATATATATTTATAATAATTATCGCTATTATTAAATCTTTATTTAAGTAAAGAAACCCTATATATTATTTAGTAAGTATTACTACATAGTATAAAACAAAGTCGCTTTCTCTGTCCCTATATCTGACTGTCCCTATGTATGCTTAAATCTTTAAAACTACGCAGCGGATTTTGATGCGGTTTTTTTAATAGTTAGAATGATTGAAGAGGAAGGTTTATATGTATAATAAGATTCATTAAATAGTGGAGAAATCAATAATAAATTACAGTTCCCGAAGCGAAGCGAGGGCGGGTCGCTAGTTATTTATAATCTAAATAAGTAGTATCTTCAAAACTTAACACATTAATTACTATCTGATTCTATCTATTTATTGCATTTTTTTGAGTCTTCCCCAAGTGCCTGATGCAAAGGCTATTCATTATTATTAATTAGTTATCTTGCTCGATATGATTAAATAATTAAATATAGTGATAATTATTCTTTTGTAAGTAATATTCCAGAAATTCATCTGCAATACCTGGTTTTATTCATATTTAATGAATCGTTTCATTATTTCATATAGACTTTTTATTGTTTATTTAATTGTTACTGAACCCTGCCATGTAAGTTTCACATCACAACGGTCTTTCTCTGTGACATCCAACCAACCTTCCAACATCCACCGACGATTCAAAATGCATAAATACGACCAAAGTCTTTTAACTGGTGGTAGGACCTCTTGTGAGTCCGCACGGGTAGGTACCACCACCCCGCCTATTTCTGCCGTGAAGCAGTAATGCGTTTCGGTTTGAAGGGTGGGGCAGCCGTTGTAACTATACTTGAGACCTTAGAACTTATATCTCAAGGTGGGTGGCGCATTTACGTTGTAGATGTATATGGGCTCTAGTACCCACTTAACACCAGGTGGGCTGTGAGCTCGTCCACCCACCTAAGCAATAAAAAAAAAAGTCATCAACCCCGTCACATATATATACATATAGTATAATATGTTTGTTGTTTACCTTAAAACAAACGCTGCACTGATATTTTATGATCTTCAAATGTTCCCAGTCCACGTGATCGACCATACACCATTTAGTTGCAAACTTCTTACCGCAGAAACTGCATTCGTGACTGAAAACAGAAAAAAGTGTTTTTTTTTTCCTACCTAAGCTGATAAGCCTTGAGAGGCTATTTATTTATTTATTTTTTATTTATTTATTTATGTACACACAAAAAAAGAAAACATAGTACAGAGTAATAGGAAAATTATGTACAAAGGCACTGCTTATTTCTTTAAGAAATCTCTTCCAGCAGACCTGCGAGAGGATTATGAGAATAATAATTAAAAGTGATGAGTGTGTGTAAAACAGCTAAAATAACAAATACAACATAAGAATTATAGTATCACCTACTAGTTAAGGTTACGCTATATCAGTGTAACCTTAACTAGCAGGTGTGCTCACGGGGCTCAAACCTGACGACGTTGCTAACACGAACCCTAGCAAGAGTCGTGCTTCGCAGAATCTACCACCGGATCGGAAACGCGACCCACTGAGAAGATGCGGCGAGAAACTCAGCGGGCTGTGTCTATGGGTTAATTTACTCGTCGAGCCCTTCGTCGCAAGCGGCGGGTTCGATGAGAACGATGACCGGAAAAAGTGGATAAATTTAGTTACGAAGACATCCGCTGGATCTCTGGTTTTTTTTTCTATCTATTCTGGTAACCTCGAGGGGTTAATCTAGATTCACCGAGCTAGTAGGTGAGCTCACGGGGCTCAAGCCGGGAGTGTTGCTAACACTGGCCCTAAGTCCGGCCATTGCTTGGTCTCTCTCTCACTTGACTAATATCATATCGAGAGGCTATTTGGTTTAAGCGACATGTTTACAAGTTCACAGCAGAACCATTTAAAGTCTAAAATTTGGAAAAAAATTAAAAAAAAACTTCAGCTATTTGAGTAAACATACTTGAAGTTCAATTAAAAACATGCGAGTTGCTAGTACCAAATAAAACGCACCTTTAATTACAAAGATAAATGTCGCGTATTAAGCAACAATTTCAGTTACAGGCCTCGATATGCTATCTGTTTTAAGTAATTTTATTCAACGATCCGGGCTGTATGGGCTACGTTCCCTTTGCCTGCTAAACTGGTACAAACGCAAAAAAAAAAACGTTACACGTAGGAATCTGGCGGGGCGTGCTTCTTGCTCAGCCTAAGATGGTTGGCGTAGCAGTCGCGGCTGGCGAAGGTCTTGTTACACTCCCGGCACTCGTACACGGCGCCCGTGTCCTTCTCGCGGTGGTTCCTCGTATGGCGGGCCAGGTTCCGCTTCCACTGGAACAGCTTCCCGCATATCGGGCACGGATAAGTCATCCCCGAATGCACCACCCTGGAATGTCGCGCGAGCGGGTGAGAGGAATTCATTAACCTTACGATTGCCGTGTAGGTCACCGGTGCCCTACGCGGCACATAATTATATTTAGGCAGCGGCTTGGCTCTGCCCCTGGCATTGCTGAAGTCCATGGGCGACGGTAACCACTCACCATCAGGTGGGCCGTATGCTCGTCTGCCTACAAGGGCAATAAAAAAAAAACGCGGCGCACTGAAGTAATTATTTCGATTTCTACCACAAGGCTAACCCTGCTATTTAGTTAACTAAGATTAGTTAGAGTTAAGTGTTTCCTCAGTGTTAAAATTGTTGGTTAACTGTTAGAAGTCCAACGCAAGTCATCAATTGGTTAAGACGGTATTCAAGAAAATTAATGAACAAGCTGTTCTACTTAAAGTAGTTACAAGTTTAATTTATTCGCACAACACATTCCGACTCATAGATAATACACATAAATTAGTTATAACTCAAGCACTCAACAAAAATGTTTACGGGTGTCGGCCACTAGATGGCTACGATTAGTTTCTCATAGCTCCTGTAGATGGCAGTAGCACATTTTTTTTATTTTTTTTTCTGTTTTTAGTTATACAATAATTGCAATTAATTAAATGCCTTATCTTTCATAACATCTAAGTTTAGGGGCATTCGCTACAAGATGTCGCTAGTTTCCATACAAAAAAAAAAGGTTTGTCTTAGTTTTTTTTTATTGCCCTTGTATGCAGACGAGCATACGGCTCACCTGATGGTGAGTGGTTGAATAGTTACCGTCGCCCATGGACTTCAGCAATGCCATGTATCGCAGTTTCAGGGCCCTCTTTCGACTCGAGCAGCCGAACGCAGCTCGTTTATGTGTATATATATATATTTATGGAGCTCTCTGTTATTATAGTTGTACACTTGGAATGTAATAAAAGGAATTCATTGGGAAAGTGAGTCTTAATTACTGTCACTAGGGAAGGCAGTGGATAATGATGAAGAGAACGGGTCAGCAACCTGGACGTTAACATTCTAAAAACACCATGGAACCAGCCATATCGTCATATTTTTTTATTAATTGCTTAAATAGGTGGACGAGCTCACGGCCTACCTGGTGTTAAGTGGTTACTGGAGCTCATAGACAGCTATAACGTAAATGCGCCACCCACCTTGAGATATAAGTTCTAAGGTCTCAGTATAGTTACAACGGCTGCCCCGCCCTTCAAACCGAAACGCATTACTGTTTCACGGCAGCAATATGGTGGTGCCTACCCGTACGGACTCACAAGAGGTCCTACTACCATTACTACATAGTATAAAACAAAGTCGCTTTCTCTGTCCCTATATCTGACTGTCCCTATGCATGCTTAAATCTATAAAACTACGCAACGGATTTTGATGCGGTTTTTTTTTAATAGATAGAGTGATTGAAGAGGAAGGTTTATATGTATAATAACATCCATTAAATAGTAGAGAAATCAATAATAAAATACAGTTTCCGAAGCGAAGCGAGGGCGGGTCGCTAGTTAACTATACATAAATGCTTGGATATGGTAGGTACCCACGCATGAGCCCTGTAGCTTTTCTTCGAGTGGAACACCTTGCTGCATCCCTTGCACGGTATATACAGTTTCTCCTTCGGCTTCTCCTCTTTATTTTGAGGCACTACTCTGAAACAATTTTAATCATTTATTATTTTGTTGATTATCAATTGAATAATTAACTATTTTAAATGTAAAACAAAATATACATTGTGTGACAAAACTAGGTGATGTTGCTTTGCCCGCATCGGCTAACTGGCCGGTGCAGTGGTACTGCTGCTAAGGTCGTGGGTTCGATTCTCACATCGGAAAACATTCGTACAATGTGCAGGTTTGTTTGCTCAAAGTAGCAAAATTATCATTATTTTGTCCATATTTTTAAACGAGTATTTATAAATTATAATATAATTTTTTTTTCTACCTGTGCTGATGGTCTTGAGACACCGTTTCAGCGTCGCCTTAAGTAGTGGGTGAGCCCACGGGGCTCAAACCTAACACGAATCCTAGCAAGAGCAGTGCTTCGCAGAATCTACCACCGGATCGGAAACGCGACCCGCTGAGAAGATCCGGCGAGAAACTCAGTGGGCTGTGTCTGTGGGTTAATTTACTCGTCAAGCCCTTCGTCGCAAGCGACGGGTTCGACGAGACCGGTGACCGGATTTTCAATCGATAACTACACTGACACTTCGCCTTGAACAAGGGAGTGAAGCCGTGGGCAAGAGCTAGTTCCACAATATAAATAATAATATAATACATAGTGTTAAGAGTTCTATCTCAAGTGTGGCGGTGGCAACATTCATATGTAAGGTTTGTTGTAAAATAATTAATTTATCATTTTAAAGTTAAGGCAATTTTCGGATTGCCAAATATCAACACTGTTGGTGGGAGCAATGGCAGTAATGGCGACGTGACTGGCGTAATAAAAAAAAGGTGGTCTGAAAAAAAGGAAGAAAAAGCAGTGTATTCTGTAGCGAGCAGATATCTAAAGATTGTACAAGTGGAATTACAAATAAAGCAATGCATAATTAAGTGAACTATCACGACCATCTGTGTATTTATAGGGACCACAAATGTCCCCATAGCAACTAACAATTATATATCGTCGCGGCGTCAGGGATGGCTAAGCGGTAGTTTCCGTCATCACTCGCATTTGGTTGAACTCAGTTTATAAAAAGCCAATAAAACCTTTTGAATAATAATTATTGAAACTCAACACACACAACTTTCACAATGACAGGGTAAGCCGACAGTTTCGTTCCACATACCGACAGACCGGCTGACTGACTGCCAGAGACTCACTGACTGAGACGGACAGACCGTCTGATACGGACTGAATGACTGTCTGACACGGAATGCCACGACTCTGTCCACGTACCGCCATTTTATACTGTGGCGTTACGGAGTCTACCCTACATTTTGTGATATTTATCAAAACAACATTTCATCATTTAAAATAATAGTCAAAACAACGTCTTAAATATTACTAAAAGTCGTTAACCACGACATATATATGTGTTAGCGGTAATTATATTAGCGGAGATTGTCGGGCTGTCGATAGCACGTTAGGTTAGGTAATCCCAATATACGTTAGTCACCTAACTGAACACGTGTCTTAGTAATCCTTGCCCGATATAGAGACTCAACATATTCATTTCCTGGCTTTAGAAGCTAAGTCTATACATATCTACGGGTTCCGGTGACCACTGAACACAGTCTATGCTAATATTTGCACTCAAAGAGTATACTCACCTTAAATGATATTTTAATGTCATCTTACTGGCGAAGACTTTACCGCAGCAGTCGCACTGTGGCTTCTCCTGATGCCAAGCCGCTTTGTGGTAATTCAATTTTGATTTTGTCCTAAACAGAAATAAATATATTAAAGCCGCGTATCGACTATATATAGCGAGATTCTGTATTCTTCGAACGCAACTTCATCGAGTGTTACATAGTTCGGAGCCAATCAAGCACAGGTAATAATAGTTAAGCTCGTGTGACACTAAAGCATCGATGTTTAGTTTGGAGCCAACTAAGCACAGGTAATAATAGTTAAGCTCGTGTGACACTAAAGCATCGATGTTTAGTTTGGAGCCAACTAAGCACAGGTAATAATAGTTAAGCTCGTGTGACACTAAAGCATCGATGTTTAGTTTGGAGCCAACTAAGCACAGGTAATAATAGTTAAGCTCGTGTGACACTAAAGCATCGATATTTAGTTTGGAGCCAACTAAGCACAGGTAATAATAGTTAAACTCGTGTGACACTAAAGCATCGATGTTTAGTTTGGAGCCAACTTAGCACAGGTAATAATAGTTAAGCTCGTGTGACACTAAAGCATCGATGTTTAGTTTGGAGCCAACTAAGTACAGGTAATAATAGTTAAACTCGTGTGACACTAAAGCATCGATGTTTTGTTTGGAGCCAACTTAGCACAGGTAATAATAGTTAAGCTCGTGTGACACTAAAGCATCGATGTTTAGTTTGGAGCCAACTAAGCACAGGTAATAATTTTTGTAAAAAATTTATGTAAAGAATTTTAATTTAAATTTTCAAATTGAATAAATAATTTTAATTATAATTTGATCCCATTTGTAACTTAATTTAATTTTATAAGATAACATATATTTAAACAGTTTCGGTTTCCTTCGTTCCTCTATGGTATGTTACCAAAATAAATTGATTATAGGTATAAAATAATTAATAGCCTTTGCAGCAAGCACTGTAATAGATAGTCTGATAGTTATGTCTTAGATTTTTTAGTAGTAGTTTAACATAGATTGTAAGTAATACCTGTTAAGAAAATGTGATAGTTTTTTTTTTAAACTGAAATAAAGAATTAATAATAATAATAATAATTATAAATATATATAATATAAATGTAAAAATAAATCTAACTAGCTAACTAACTAATTTCTCACCCGAATTCACTGCCACAAATCGAACAGACGTATTCTTCTTTCATACCCTCGTTGTGGGTATAAAGATGCTTCGACATAATCTTCTTGACGGTTGTTTTGTATGCGCACTTTACGCACATATACGCGATCTGGTGCAAGGACCTGTGCAGCAGTAAGTTGTCCTTCGTGAGCAGATAAACGTTGCACACGTCGCACTTGTGGCTGCCGGCGCCCTTCTGAAAATAACGAGCCGTTACTGGAAGTTGCTTTCAATAGTTTCATAGCAGAAATAGGCAGGACGGTGGTACATCACCATCATCAAGCCATATCAAGTGGAGACCGTACAGGGATGCAGCATAATGTTACGTCGGTATGAGTAACGTCATCTATCGCCGAATAGTCGAACGAATATCGAAGGATCCAGAATGCTCGAGAATTACAACGCCATCTATTGACAGATAGCGGAAACTACGACTAGAGATGTGTAGAATATTCTCGATGATTCTAGGGATGTCGTATCGACTATAAAAGCGTTGTAGGGATGGCACGCAGTCAGTCAGTAATCGAAACTACTCGAAGCGAAACAGTGAACGGATCACCTGAAGCGAAGCGGAAGAAGCGAATTGAGAGTTTTAAAGTGTTCGTGAAGTGTTTAAGTGTTCTAAGTGTTGAATACAGTTTTAAGTTGTACTTTGGTGGAACATTTTTATTCTATCTTATCCTATAGGCCACGAGATAGTGGTAGCTGACCCCTGTGACCTCATTATATAGGACTAGTATTAGCAATTCTCTCAAGTTGAGCTCGTGAGCTCACCTAATCATCTGCCCGTAGCTGAAATAGCCCCTTAGGCTACCAGAGAATAGATGGAGAATTAAAAAATAATGACATTCAAAGATTCCCTTACATAGATAAATACAGGTTAATCTGGCATTATCGCACTGTTTAAAATGACTCAACTGAAAGTTTTAGCCTTTATGCTTATATATACTCACAGGTCTGTGCTTTCCTTCCATATGATCACACATGAGCCTCGCCGTGTTGAAGCCGATTAGACAGTCAGAGCACTTATACTTCAACGATTGAAAGTACTCGTTCTGGACATCATTTTTTCTTACTACCCACATTTCGCTTTCTTGCATGTGACACAGTTCAACTTGGTTCACGGGTAGATTCTTCAATTTGCGGGATATTTTTTCTTTTTTCTCAGGCTGAAATCATAAGAGAAATCTTTGAATGCAGATTTAGATGGATTCTAAGCTGCACACTGATTTGTGGACTAACAATGAATGTTTCACAGGACTACATATCGATAATGTTAAAAATTGAACATATTGTGTAAGTAAATTTGAATAATATTCTCTAACTGTCTCACACTATCAAACAGTCATGATCATCACAGCCCACTGAGTTTCTCACCGGATCTTCTCAGTGGGTCGCGTTTCCGATCCGGTGGTAGACTCTGCGAAGCACTGCTCTTGCTAGGGCCAGTGTTAGTAACACTCCCAGTTTGAGCCCGTGAGCTTACCTAGCCTCACCTCAATCTCACTAGCTCGGTGAATCCATCATCAGCCCACAATATCATCATTGCAACTACATACATTTTATGATAAAACTCACTTTTGCCATTTTTCTATTCTTCTTTCTCTTTTTCTTCTCCTGCTTTTCCTTTTCCTCTTTTAACAACAAAAGATTGACGTCTTCCTCGGACGAGACTCCAGCGTCTTGAGATTGAAAATCATCTGCACAATCTTCCTCTTGATCTTTTTCCAATTTCAATTCTTCGTTCAGCAATGCCTCAGGTTCTGAAATTTTTGTTGTACAGATAGAAAAGCCAAATATGTTGCCAAAATTTACATCTCAGAGCGGACATCACTCAAAGAGGCCTTAAGTAGAACTAGCTCAAAATAAGCAATGATATCCACGAAATTAATGTGTCGTTACTGATCACAAGGTTAGTAGGAACAGCAGGAAATAATAAAGATAGGAACTACCAATGTGCCACCTTTTACTGCCAAGTAGTGTATGTTGTCATTTGAAAAACTCAACACATAACATCACATGAAGAGACTTCAAGTAGACATCTTGATATGGGTATGGTGAACATAATATTTCACATCATGATGTCTATAGGGTCTGGTGAGCACTAAGCTACCGAAAGCTGTACAAAAAACAATAATTTAAGTTTACTCCTATAAATTACAGAATATTATTATATAAAAACAAAAGGGAAAGCAAAAATATTGGGGTCTGAAAAAGGTTATGGTCTCAACAATGCGTAATAGTGATTTAATCAGTAATTTGAAGTCGTCGTGGCCTAAAGGATAAGACGTCTGATGCATTCGTATCAAGCGATGCAACGGTGTTCGTATCCCGCAGGCGGGTACCAATTTTTCTAATGAAATACGTACTCAACAAATGTTCACGATTGATTTCCACAGTGAATAACATCGTGTAATAAAAATCAATCCCGCAAAATTATAATTTGCGTATTTACTGGTGGTGGTAGGACGTCTTGCGAGTCCGCACGGGTAGGTACCACCACCCTGCCGATTTCTGCCGTAAAGCAGTAATGCGTTTCGGTTTGAACCGTTGTAACTATATTGAGACCTTAGAACGTATATCTCAAGGTGGGTGGCGCATTTACGTTATAGATGTCTATGATCTCCAGTAACCACTTAACAACAGGTGTGCTGTGAGCTCGTCCAACCATCTAAGCAATAAACAATAAATAAAAATAAAAGTACTAGGGATGCCTATTAGATTTTAATGGAAAAAACTAAGATTGTCCCTAAAATCATTTTAAAAATATTGTATCACATTAGGAAAGTCTTACCAACAAATGCATCACCATTCTCACGTTCAATTTTCACTTGAACTTCATTCGACAGATTACTGTTATTGTCTTGTATTGTTGTGAGCTCCATTGGGGTCATAACCAGTCGCGAAGTCGCATGTTTAGTTAAATCCTTCGGTGAATTTAGAAACATGTACTGTAATAACAAACAATAGTAAAAATTTCTTTAAATGTCTGCACTTTACTGCTCATATTAAAATACAGTTAGTATTAATGGCAACATTCAATGGGCTACATCCAGAAATCTGTTATGAATGCGAACAGAAAGGTTTTTACCAGGAAAATCCCAGTGCATCTTTACGTTTAACCATTCTAGAAATCAGTTGCCTACACTTGCCACTGATACTGAATCATTTGATAGTACAACAAACAAACTTCAAGGGTTTTCTCACATTTTATAGTTAACAATATCGATTAGGTCTTTGTACCTTTTTTTCTTTATTACAGATAACTTATCAGAAAAGTAACAATATGAGTGGTACTAATTAAAGTCAACCTTAACCAAAACATAAATTCTTATGATAATTGATTACAGCCTGGTTTCGGTACATTGCCGACTAAGTTTTCCACTTCTAAATGCACACAATTGAAACAGTACTAATATCTGCTTTGTTATTTACACATACAGACTTAATTATTTTTAATCAAACTTTTTTTTATGAACATTAAGCAGCAATAATCACAACTAACTTATTTTTATATCTGTTATATATACTTCAGTAGGTGTATGTATATTCCTTAGAGATTAAGGAATAACCGGGTTGATTTTGATGAAATTTTCAGGGAATCTTCAGATTGACCTAGCCAGTGATCCTGTGAAAATCAGTAGCTATTTGATCAAAGATCAGCCAGCAAAGCAAGTCCGTTTTGCCAAGTAAAAACATAAGTTGACAATCTTAATTACTACAGTAAAAATAATTAAGTTTCTGTGTGTCAGATGCATCTTAATGAATACTATATATGAGTCGACTATTATCAAAGGCGGCAATCTGACTTTTGGACAATGATTGGTAAATCAGAAAAACGAATTATTGACTTTGTATTCCATTGGCAGTCACAAAACTCTTCGGAACGACATCTTAGATAAATAACAGGTTAACTATTAACCTTTATTTAATGCAGGTTTTGAACCGTATTCTTTGAAGGAGACGANACTTTGTATTCCATTGGCAGTCACAAAACTCTTCGGAACGACATCTTAGATAAATAACAGGTTAACTATTAACCTTTATTTAATGCAGGTTTTGAACCGTATTCTTTGAAGGAGACGATTATATTCAAATCAATCTGTATTGACATATCAATAAATTTTTTTTGTCCAAATGCACAGATTGCCACCTTTGATAATAGACGACTCATATTAGGTAACTATAATTGTTATTATTATAAAATTTTTTATTAAATTATAACAATACTTTTTTTTTACCTTTTTAGAATAATCATAGAGGATATCGTAGGATTTTAAAATTTGTTCTTGAAAGCTTTTTACAGTTCTGATGGCAGCAAAGCACTCCCAGCATACTTGAACTGTTAAACCGTCTGGTACCTAAAAGTTTGATTTTATTAAATTTTTGGTGAATCATAGACATTTTAATGCAACCATACATTGATGGTATAGTAAAAACTCTTTATTCGTGGGGTATATGTTCCATTAATATACGAATACGGAAACCGTGTATATGCAATGGGAATTTAAATATATGGGATTATATTATATATAGGGGATACGTTCCGTACGTGATAAAATAAAAAAGATGCACATATATAAAAAAAAATTGTTTAATTGAAGTGTTTGATAATATTGAGTAACAATGATGCATTTACAATGTGTTTATATGGATTAGATCTGCAAATAAAGAAATCTTTAGCTTGGTAAGACTGGAAAGGCCTCTGGGCAACCAGTAATCTCTCATACAAAAAAAATTTCCAATCCTATTGGTTCCTATTCAGTCTATTCTGTTTCCTATTTCAGTGTTTTTGAGGTTTTTTTATGCAACATAATTTTTTATGTATATTATTGCTTTAGATTGGAAGACAGATCATGGGTTACTCAGTGTGAAGTCAGGTCAGTGGTAGTGACTGTTTCATTCTTAGTTAATCGAGAGATTATATGTTAAAACAACATTGTCAAATTTACAAGATAAAACAGATATTTCAGTTTTGTGAGGTCCTATTAGAAGAAGCAAGTTGGAGCTTCTAACTACTTCATAGAATCATTGTCATCCCGGAAGGATATACAGAAAAAAGTATGTTTAAATTTTTTACAATCTAATTTCAAGGACCTCTTTCTAAATTTCAGGTTTATTTGAGCAATTGCTAATACTGTTGTTAGTGATTGTTGACACAGTGAATGACAACACACATGACGAAGTCTCATACTTTGAGACATGAGTCAATTTCATCAAACTCAAACCTTATTATGTAGTCAAAAGCTTGTTTTTTTTTACACTAAAGGCAATGCAAAGCAATCCCGCCATTTAATTTTATTCAAGGATTCAGTTATTACTTTCAATTCATGGCTTATCGACAATAACGAGCTCAAGAAAAATTGCTTTAAAAAAACTTTTTTTTAAGAAAAATGTCGTATCCAATGAATTCTGTTCTTGTTTATTATTTAAAAAACTCTTGATTTATGACTAAAAGAGTTCGCGAACTGACCAATATATCCTTTAAAAGTCTTAATGTAGATAGATTAGTGATAATTGTATTGAATTACAGTACTTACGTCGATATTTCCTAATAGTTTAAAGCATTCCTTAACTTCGTTACAACAGAACATCCTGCGATTGTAATTCAAACAACCGACGCAGATACCATTTACATTGTAACCTTCTATGTTAATATTAATTTCTTTCATTTTCGTTTGCGCTTTTTCTTTTTACAAAAAATAAATAAATATTTTTCAAAACAATAGAAGCTTCACAGCTTTTTCTTGGCCATTTTGATAGCTTTTTTTTTCAATTTGACATTCAATTGCGCCTGTAAAATGGATATAGTCTATGCCGCCGTTTTTCATTCATAAATGATCACACCGCTCCGTTAACTCTTGTTGACGTCGAATATTGTAATATAGAAGCAACAAACAACAAGAGCCTTACTATTTGATCAAATAATTTGCAGAATATGTTCTTCTCGATTTAAATGGAATTAAGAATTAATTTTTTTTGACAGTGAAATTCTATGTCGTGGTGTCAGGCAATGACCTCTAATTTAATTAATTAAGTATTTTAAATTAACACAATTTCGTTCGTAGTCCTTTATCCTGTATTTGTATCACTTTTTAAATAGATTTTGGTACCTACTATGCTGACTTTCAATAAATAAATACATCACAAGAAAAATAAATTACACATGCTCCTAAACAATGTAAAAAGAACCAGACTGGCAAAGATAATTATTTGGGTAGGTATTAAATTATGTAATTAAGCACGCAGAAAAGGAGCAAAAGATTGTTTACTTCAAAAAAAGAGGTAATTGTGTTTAATAATATTTAAGATACATATAACTAGCTTCCCCCAATCTCTCCCAGACCCTAACTAGGGCGGGGATAGGACGCAAAAAAAAGGTTTTAAACAACAGAAATTTTAACATTTTTACTTGAATCCCATATTTTATGTACGGTAGTAAGTTGCGTTATGAAACAGAAAACAATAGAAAGAAAACAGACTCGGTCAATATTTTTTATTTATTAATTGAATAAAGCGCTCAGAGTCATACATCACTGTCTGTTTTTATAATGTATTAAATGATCGCAATCTCTCAATCTCTTGGCGGCTTGTTCGGGGGTTAGGTCCCGTTGCGTTTGCGCCAGCATCTCGAAGCCGACCATGAACTTCTTGATGGTGGCCGATCGTAGCAATGGCGGCAGGTACAGAGCGTGAAGTAACCAGTGCGGTGAATCACCAGGAGTCGTTCCCGGGCCCGTTGGAGCTCCTGTTTTGCACGACAATTAGGATTATATTATTGTGATATGTGCCACTCAAAGTTCCTAAACTGACCGATATCGCACGTAATTTTCTGCTGCTGTATGTACGTAAGTAGAAAGTATTCAATGTATTTGTGAGCCCACTGAGTTTCCCGTCGGATCTTCTCAGTGGATCGCGTTTCTGATCCAGTGGAAGATTCGGCGAAGCACAGCTCTTGCTAGGGTTAGTGTTAGTAACGTCGTCAGGTTTAAGCCCCCAACTAACTAACTCGGTGAATCTAGAATAGCCCCTTGAGATTGCTAGAATAGGCAGGGAAAAAAGTCTTTGTTAATTACAATGTGCGGGCCTGCGGTCCGCAAAGGTACAGTAATACCTTCTTAGCGGTCTAGTGGTAGGGAGTCTTGTGAGTCCGCACGGGTAGGTACCACCACCCTGCCTGTTTCTGCAGTGAAGCAGTAATGCGTTTTGAGTTGAAGGGTGGGGCAGCCATTGTATTGTAAAAACGGAGGCCTTAGAACTCATATCTCAAGCTGAGTAGTGGCATTTACGTTGTAGATGTCTATTGGCTCCGGTAACCACTTAAAATCAGGTGGGTCGTGAGTTCGTCGCGAGCAATAAATAACTAAAATTTACCACCTATATTCTGCCGTGAAGCAATAATGCTTTCCGGTTTGCATGATAGGGCAGCTCTTGTACTATAGAACTGAGACTTAGATCTCAAGTCACGTTATGTTCTATGCATAATAACACATAATGAATCCTTTGCTCAACTAGCTAAAGTCTTTAAACATTCGGTAAATAAAACATACAGCCAATAAACATGTTTTAGATTGCGAAATATATGTATATATAATACCATAATAAATATATATATATATAATACCATGCCATCCCATGCTGTACGGGAAGCTGCACTCGAACAAATTATCGTATTTCGTGTTCAATTGCTTCATGATTTCGGCTAAGCCTTTCTTCTGGGCGGGGCTCAAGTCGGTCAGCCGCTGTGGGGCACCGTTCAATGGCAACAGCATCGTTTCATAAGGCCAAACCGCCCAGTACGGGACTATCGCCACCCATTCTGAATTTTTTAACACTATCCTCTCCTGAAAGTTCAACAGAATTCTTATGTTAATTGGAAAGTATTTGCGTGTATTGAACGAGCACGTGTTGAAAAAATTCGAAGAAAAAATAAAAATTGAAAATTGGATAAAAATCGAATAAGCAGCGTAGACGTTTAATGAAAAAAAAAAAGAATGTAGGCTATTGCCAGTTCGTAAAAAAAATACACCTGTTTTGTTTTTTATGAAGCCCTTCAATGGTGTAATCGTACCTTAAATTTTAATTCTTGTTTCAAATAATCGACAAGCAGAGAGTTTCCGTATTTTGCATAATATTCGCTTTGGCATCTGAAATAAATATACACAAAGTTGTGTTAGTAACAGTATGTTAAATTTAATTTGATGGTTAATTTCCAAAGTAGTATTTTCTTAATTCTGGTATAATTGATATATGCATTTAACCCTATTTTTAAACTACAAATACTGTTTTCGTTGGAGCTGTCTCTGAGGAATCATTGAGATTTTAAAAGTACGTAGAGCCATGAAGGCGGTTTTTTTCAGTTATCGTGCGAAAAAGCTAACGTGCGAAAAAAAATGTTATTACCTATCCTTAATCCTGGGCTCGTTCGGCAAGAAGCTGGACGCCCATATTTGGCAGTGAGGATGCGGATTAGAACAACCCATAATGGCACCCTTGTTTTCAAATATTTGTACCCATGTATATCTTTGACCTAATTCGTTCAGTTGATTTATCCATCTGTGAATACAAAATGTAGGTTTTAACATGGAAAATAGGGATAATTGGAAAGGAGTTTTTCATAAAATGTGAGAGTTATTATTTTTCAGTATGGCAATTGGCTTCTTGCGACGCCATCCTTGATCGACGCTCCTCACTTTCCCGCCAAAATGTTTACATACGGCCAAGTTGATTGCGACAAAATGCTGTGTTATTAATTTTTTGTTGTTAAAATGATGTAGTGAATTTTGATAAATATGGCGCTCACTCTTCGATGACTTCTTGAATTTCTTCAACTTTCATTAGAGGTATGGTCATTGTCGAATCAGGATGAAAGCACATAACTCTGAAAAAATAAATAAATGGTAAATATTAACAATGTGACCCATGACGTATTTTGTACGAAGAGTATATAAACGTCAGTTGTTCATGGATGTGGCATATTTGTCGAGATTTATATTTTTCTTACATAAGCCGGTAGGTCGGGGAAAACACTGTTTATTTGCACTTCATGCCAATGGAAAACAATTTTAAGGGTAAAAAAAACATTTTGATAGCAAACCGATTAATATGATAAATATATATTTTATCCTACTTTTCCTGGTCGCAATATTCAATCACATTAATAAAGCTATTGTATTGTCATCGGCCATTTTAAGGTCAATCGGTCGTCTGAATTTAGTGAGAGCTACGTTCAAAAATTCTGTTACATACATACATAATATAAGCCAAACCATTAAAAGATGTAGAGAAGAACAATAAAAGCGCGCTTAAATAGAAAGCATAAATAATCATTGATTTTAATAGGATCTTAGATTGAAGTTATGTGGTGGTGGTATAATATGTGGTGGTGGTATAATATGTGGTGGTGGTATAATGTGGTAGTGGTATAATGTGGTGTCATCGGTTTCTGATGCGAGTGCAAATATTTAAATTGATCGGAGATCTTGAAAGTTTGTCAAAATTGCTTTGGTTCTAAGATTCTATTTTAAAGATACAACACCAAGGTAAAGCGTGCTTGTTAAAAGCTTTATTTAATGACTCGATTGTGCGAAGCGTAAAACAGGAAGTGACGTAGCGATCTTAATCCGGGCCCGGGGCACAATACCTTTTTAGCGTAACATTTTCCAGAAATCACTTAAAAAAAAAAATATCCAGCAACTTTTTGTTTTGTGGGCCATTCGGCGCCCCTTTGTGGGGCATGATGTTTGATTGCTCCCCCTCGCTACACCACTGGTGCTTGAGATACCTGCATGTTCCTTTGGCCGGTGCAGATTGGAACAATGGGTGTTCCGGTTCTGGAGGCTCTGGCACATCCTCGAGAAGCGCTGGGAAGTCGTTCGGGAACACGTATGTGGATGTGTAGTTTGGGTTACGCTGGAAATTGAGGAATATTGAGAGTTCATTAACCCATTACCGTAATTCTTAGATTATCTCTTCCGTCCCATGAAATATGAATTATTAAGACGCTTTAAAACTAATAGCGTTATCGTTTCCCAAAATTTTATTGATTTTTTTTATTTATTCATTGTTTTCATGGCTAAAGGACCAGATGTGCAGGGTACTCAATCGAGCGATGAGATTATGATGATCCAATCTTGCCGGCACTTAATAGTATATTTTGATAACACGTACTTAACACCAGTTCAGCATTTTGCGACGAAGGAGAAATATCAAACCGCTACGTTTCTGGAATTTGCAATTTTAATGGTACTATATAGGGTTGTTGAGTCCGCCATCTTGTTTTTTATGGCGCGAAATACAAATGCCCCTAGTGACATTAATACACAAGATTCCTTTTCGCCTTAAACTTGTGGTGTACCATCTGAAGTTACGGCGCTGAAAATTTTACCTTTCCACTGGACCGTAAAGCACCAGCTCTGAGCGGATTGTTAGGGTCTGGAGGCTGATCTTCCGGGGCCGCTTCCGTCTGCCCGCTCCAAGGTCGAAGACACCGATGCGGAGACACCAATACCCATTCGTCTTTCAGAGGATTGTACCTGATGTGCTGGTGTTCTGAGGGTTAATTGAAGACAGCCTTTTATTTTTCTCCAATGAACCATGGTTCCGAAACTGCTTCATCAGCTTCTGATGGTATTGGTATGTTAAATTCTTTATAACTTTGATAAAAAAAAATTAAAAAAAAAGTATGTCGATGACTCACGAAAACCGATGAATATACTGAAGTTTTTTTTATTTTTATTTATTGATTAGGTTTGTGGACGAGTTCACGGCCCACCTGGTGTTAAGCGGTTACCGGAGCCCAGTCAATCGTCGTAGTCGTAGTCAATCGATTACGAGCGCTTGTCATCGAAACTGACAAAAAGCTTTTCGAAGCTCACCTTAAAATTGTTTGATTAATTAATTCAACGTAGTAAGCATCGTTATTTAGTCACTCACTAAAAATTTTAGTCGATCGAGAAGACACCAAAAACGTGGCACGTCCCTAGTGCTTATTTCGCCTTACAATGATTCACGATCAAGCTCTAATGAAATTTAATTAAAGATTTTCAATAAAATGTTAAGTTGATTCTAACCTGTTGACTTGAATTCCATTTTGTTTTAAGAGCGCGTGCACTCCCTGCTAAGTGTGATGTTAGACTAGTGATATATTAATGAATCGAGATAAGAAAAGTAGAATATTAATATCCAGAGCGTTTGCTTCTGAGAGTATTTTGCCTAAAATATATTTGGTGACGTTTGGTTTCACAATGTTGCCAATACGCAATTTCAGTCTTAGATTCCGCGCTTCGGTTGTTTGTACGTGTAATTTTCAATGCAAAAATTATTATAATTTTTTTTTGTTTTTATTTTTTTATTGCATAGATGAGTGGACGAGCTCACAGCCCACTCGGTGTTAAGTGGTTACCGGAGCCCATAGACATATACAACGTAAATTGAGTTCTAAGGTCTCAGTATCGTTACAACGGCTGTCCCGCCCTTTAAACCGAAATGCATTACTGCTTCAGGGCAGAAATAGGCAGGGTAGTGGTACCTACCCGCGCGGACTCACAAGACGTCCTACCACCTGTAATTACGAGAATTATAATTTAGCGCTTTACAGATTTTTATCACACGATGTTATTCCTTCACCGTGGAAGTCAATCGTTAAGGTATCTATATCAATCTCTGGTACCTATCACACAGGGAAACCTGGATTGGGTCCGGATGACCGTGCATGATTTGGTTCCCAGTAATTGAAGTGAAACTTCTTTAGGCGTGTTGAGAGTAAAATTCAACTCGCGACAGATTCGTTACGGCTCGAGAGAAAAGATACAATTTAGGTCGAGCGAGAGTGAGAAAATAGACCGAGCGTCTCGCGAACAACTCGACCTGCAGAGAGAGAGAAAGCGAGCTAGGTCGTTTCTCTTATACACATTCCGTTTACGGGCGTCGGCCGTTAGATGACTTATTATTAGTTTCTCATTACTCCTGTAAATGGAGTAACATATTAACTATCTTTTATTTTATTTTTAAGCTATTGCATAGCTTTTATCGCGGGCTTTGAGTGCGGTGACCGAATCAAGAAATTCCGTAACAAAAATAAAACCTAACACCCCCCCACTCCGCCTACCATGTAGCTCGCGTTCAATACATTCACACGTTGCGCTTGTGTAGTGTGAATAAGCGTGCGGCGTGACGTCGCACTGAATGCGCATCATGAAAAGTCTGCCCATCTCTCTCTTGCGCGGTCTAGCTTATGAGTGTGAAGGGGACAGTTAATGTTTTGCTTTTTGTCTTATTTTAATATTGTTTTAATATTAAATTATTATTGTCTAATTATAATTGCGTAAGTTGATAAAAAAATGCTATGCAATAGCTTTACCGCGGCAGTCCCCGAGTGCCACACATTTTTTTTATGTAGTATTTCAAAAAATATATTATACATGGTGAAGAGGTCGTTTCTCTTATACACAGCATTCCGTATTAAAAGTGAAAATGAACAGACATTGACAGAAACAGTGTCGACAGCCATCACAGAGGCTACGACGCTCAGCAAGCTGCAAAATCAAATGAAATTGATACATCTACTTAATAATCTTTGCCAATATTGAAGTTAGGGGTTATAAAACATCGTATTCTCCATTTATCGTACAACATAAAACAATAAAAAGATAAATAAATCGTGAAAACTTAATTTTCGGATTAACTATTTTATAAATTTGTAAGTATATCGTATATCAGAGAGATGACGCGTTAAATTGCTACAAAGGGCAATATGGAAACTCTGTCATAGCTTCTTCTTCTTTCTGCTCTGATTCCTCATTATACGGGCTTGGCGCAGCATGTCTTCTCATCATGCTGCCTAAGGATTTGGCATGAGTTATCCGACCGATATCAACTGCCGGATATCAACCCTCAGGTTATATCTCCAGAAGTATATCCACTCCGACGTGCCGTAGGGATGGAGTCTTCTGTTAATTCTTTTAGCGTTTCTTTTACTTCATACGTCTTTGGTTCTATTCTTGCACAATAATCATAAATATTTACAATTAAATTTAGATTTTCAAATGCCAGCATGCATTAGAAGAGAAACCTTTAATAATAATTAGACACAAAAGTAAGTTCCTAACGAAAACGAAACAAACAGAGGAACACGTGAAAACATTTTAGCCGACTTCAAAAAAGGTGGAAGTTCTCAATTCGACTGTTTTTTTGTTTTTTTTTTGTTTGTCCCCTCAGTGCTTTCGACTGGGTGAAGTGATTTCGATGATACTTTTTTTTATTTGAAATTTGGACCAGTTCTGAAATTGGCATCCTTGAGAAAATCATATAAGTCTTAAATTTGCACTAAATGGACTAGTATAATAGAATAGTCTGGAATTGACGCCTTGAATTAAATTTAGGAGTGAAAGGCTATTTGGTTTAAGCGACATTTTGCTTAATACGCGACAGTTACTTTGTAATTAAAAAGTCCGTTTTGTTTGGTATTAGCATCAACAGTTCGATATTTTGAAGGTTTTTTTTTTATTGCTTAGTTGGGTGGACGAGCTCACAGCCCACCTGATGTTAAGTTGTTACTGGAGCCCATAGACATCCACAACGTAAATGCGCCACCCACCTTGAGATACAAGTTCTAAGGTCTCAAGTATAGTAACGACGGCTGCCCCGCCCTTCAAACCGAAACGCATTACTGCTTCACGGCAGAAATAGGCAGGCTGGTGGTACCCACCCGCGCGGACTCACAAGAGGTCCTACCACCAGTAATTACGCAAATTATAATTTTGCGGGTTTCATTTTTATTACACGATGTTATTCCTTCACCGTGGAAGTCAATCGTGAACATTTGTTGAGTACGTATTTCATTTGAAAAATTGGTACCCGCCTGCGGGATTCGAACACCGGTGCATCGCTCAACACGAATGCACCGGACGTCTTATCCGTTAGGCCACGACGACTNTAGATTTTCAAATGCCAGCATGCATTAGAAGAGAAACCTTTAATAATAATTAGACACAAAAGTAAGTTCCTAACGAAAACGAAACAAACAGAGGAACACGTGAAAACATTTTAGCCGACTTCAAAAAAGGTGGAAGTTCTCAATTCGACTGTTTTTTTGTTTTTTTTTTGTTTGTCCCCTCAGTGCTTTCGACTGGGTGAAGTGATTTCGATGATACTTTTTTTTATTTGAAATTTGGACCAGTTCTGAAATTGGCATCCTTGAGAAAATCATATAAGTCTTAAATTTGCACTAAATGGACTAGTATAATAGAATAGTCTGGAATTGACGCCTTGAATTAAATTTAGGAGTGAAAGGCTATTTGGTTTAAGCGACATTTTGCTTAATACGCGACAGTTACTTTGTAATTAAAAAGTCCGTTTTGTTTGGTATTAGCATCAACAGTTCGATATTTTGAAGGTTTTTTTTTTATTGCTTAGTTGGGTGGACGAGCTCACAGCCCACCTGATGTTAAGTTGTTACTGGAGCCCATAGACATCCACAACGTAAATGCGCCACCCACCTTGAGATACAAGTTCTAAGGTCTCAAGTATAGTAACGACGGCTGCCCCGCCCTTCAAACCGAAACGCATTACTGCTTCACGGCAGAAATAGGCAGGCTGGTGGTACCCACCCGCGCGGACTCACAAGAGGTCCTACCACCAGTAATTACGCAAATTATAATTTTGCGGGTTTCATTTTTATTACACGATGTTATTCCTTCACCGTGGAAGTCAATCGTGAACATTTGTTGAGTACGTATTTCATTTGAAAAATTGGTACCCGCCTGCGGGATTCGAACACCGGTGCATCGCTCAACACGAATGCACCGGACGTCTTATCCGTTAGGCCACGACGACTACAAAACGTCAATTAAGTTTATTCCATTCGAATTGCTAAGAAGTGTTTTGTGTTAGGTTTTCTTTTTAAATGCTTAACCTTTAAATGTCTCTCCTGTAAAGTCGCAAAAATGTCGCTTAAGCCTGTTAATTAACCTTTTACCCTTCGCAATAGATTCTGAGCTATTTGTACTGTCGCAAAGCTGTTTGTTATTAGTTTGCGTGAAGGCCTTTCGAATTCCCACTAAAATTCAGCATTGCAGTATACGCTTCTGCGGTTGCAATGCGCGGACCTTTTTTATGTAAAACAGCGCCATCTAGTGATACATTCTTAAAGCATTGAAAAACGAACTAATTGCTTTTAAATTTGTGATAGTAAAATTAATAGGGAAAGGTCTCTTTTAACAATAAATTACCGTTAAGTGATTACCGGGGCTCACAGACATCTACAACGTAAATGCCGCCACCCACCTTGAAATATAATATATACCTTGTTTACTGCTTCACGGCAGAAATAGTGTCATTCCCGATCCTGCGGACAGAATGGAAAGCAGTCGACGTCGCCCAAAACACGTCATCTCGGATCCTCCCGATCCACTAACGGTGCTTTTAGGTACTTCAAGCACCGGTCACCGTTCTCGTCGAACCCGTCGCTTGCGACGAAGGGCTCGACGAGTAAATTAACCCTCAGACACAGCCCACTGAGTTTCTCGCCGGATCTTCTCAGTGGGTCGCGTTTCCGATCCGGTGGTAGATTCTGCGAAGCACGGCTCTTGCTAGGGTTCGTGTTAGCAACGTCATCAGGTTTGAGCCCCGTGNTGTTATTAGTTTGCGTGAAGGCCTTTCGAATTCCCACTAAAATTCAGCATTGCAGTATACGCTTCTGCGGTTGCAATGCGCGGACCTTTTTTATGTAAAACAGCGCCATCTAGTGATACATTCTTAAAGCATTGAAAAACGAACTAATTGCTTTTAAATTTGTGATAGTAAAATTAATAGGGAAAGGTCTCTTTTAACAATAAATTACCGTTAAGTGATTACCGGGGCTCACAGACATCTACAACGTAAATGCCGCCACCCACCTTGAAATATAATATATACCTTGTTTACTGCTTCACGGCAGAAATAGTGTCATTCCCGATCCTGCGGACAGAATGGAAAGCAGTCGACGTCGCCCAAAACACGTCATCTCGGATCCTCCCGATCCACTAACGGTGCTTTTAGGTACTTCAAGCACCGGTCACCGTTCTCGTCGAACCCGTCGCTTGCGACGAAGGGCTCGACGAGTAAATTAACCCTCAGACACAGCCCACTGAGTTTCTCGCCGGATCTTCTCAGTGGGTCGCGTTTCCGATCCGGTGGTAGATTCTGCGAAGCACGGCTCTTGCTAGGGTTCGTGTTAGCAACGTCATCAGGTTTGAGCCCCGTGAGCTCACCTACAAAAGTTAGGGTTACGCTGAAATAGCCTCTCAAGGCTCTCAGGTTAGGTAGGGAAAAAAAAAAAGCAGAAATAGGCAGGGTGGCGGTACCTACCCGTGCGTTACTCACAAGACGTCCTACCACCAGTAATGTTTATCGAAATGATCGCCCTCATTGTGTAAATTTTATAATTTTTCTGAAGTGAATTAATACCCTTTTGGGACACATTAAAGTAATCACTGGCCTCATTATACAGAAAAAAGTTTTTTCTGTATAATGAGTCACTGGCGCTATATTTCACCATTAAAATACAGAGGTATTTGTAGTTTTATAAATAGCCCTACCTATTTATAGTGTTTTTTGTTAGTAAAAAAAAAACATGTGTGCAATTCACACGTAGTAAAAAATTTAATGAAACCTCCAAAAATGTTGGCTTCAAGATAATTTGTAGGGTTTGGTAATGATAATATAGTGATACAAAAGTTTGATAATTATTTTACATTTTATTCGTATATATTACATAGATTTATTCTGAATGTATTAAGTACGAATATTAGGTACGAAGCAGAGCACTTAAAGAATCACGAATATAAGAAGCACTGTATAATGATTCCTATCTCATTTTCTCCCATATTAAATCTTATGAATTTATATGTCCTGTCTCTTTTTACTGTCGCTGTTCCGTTTCAACGGCTTTCGAATCACAATATAATGCTAAAGAAGTTTTCACTTAAAAAAGTAAAAATTTATTTTAGCGCCATCTAGTAACAACACTCGGAACCATTTAAGAGTCCGGAAGCAAATACCGCTTACACCCCATCAGCTGAAGTAATGATTATCTCATCCTATATTTATGCGTATGTATGTTTGACCGACTGACTTACTTAGAAATTTGGTATTCTCAGCCTTCGTAGGTACTGCAATGCGCGACGGCTGTTACGTCACGACCCTCCCCTATCGGACATGTAACAAAACGCGCCTTCGCTGCCTCGGAAAATAAAGTGATTTTATGATAACTAGTTAGTGGTCTCCGGTAGTCGTAATTCGACTATAATTGATTGAAATTATAATTTTGTTACACTATTATGATCTTATTGTCAAAGACTTATTATACTTCTATAATCACAGATTTCGCCAAGACTACACTTTAGACAAAAATTATTAAAGACAAAATAATATTTAATCTATTCTCAATTTGACCACATACTATAGCTGCACTAACTGACAGATTGCAATAAGAAAAGTTTGACAATAAACAAATAGTAGGTAGGTAGCGTGTGTGTGTAATGTTTTTTTAATTGATTTAAGCGGATTTTTATGCATAATTTAAAAAAAAAAAATTAACATTGTGCACTCCTTCTCTATATTCTCTATACCTAAGTGTGGGAAATTTCATACTCCTCCGTCCGCGCAATTTTCATAAAAAGGGATACAAAGTTTTTGCTATCTATATATTAATACGTGATTAATATATAGATATTAAATACCAAAACTCTTTACACCGAGCTTTCTTTTTCTCGGCACATATATGAAATGTTAGAACGGGTATTTAATTTATAAGCTTAAAATACACAAATTACTGTATTAATTTTGAAACTTTAATATCAATGTATTCTTTGATTGCAATCCAGACCATGGTTAAGTATGGTAGGAATAAAATGGCACTATATTTTTTATTTATTTTATTGCTTAGATGAGGGGACGAGCTCACAGCCCACCTGGTTTTAAGTGGTTACTGGAGCCCATAATAATCTACAACGTAAACGCGCCACCCACCTTGAGATATAAGTTCTAAGGTCTCAAGTATAGTTACAACGGCTGCCCTACCCTTCAAACCGAAACGCATTACTGCTTCACGGCAGAAATAAGCGGGGCGGTGGTACCTACCCGCGGGAACTCACAAGAGGTCCTACCACCAGTCATGTTCTTGTCGAATACGTCAATTGCAGTGAAGATTGTCACGTACAATTTAACCCGACTGCATTTACTGCCGGATCTTCTCAGTGGGTCGCGATTCCGATCCGACGGTAGATTCAGCGAAACTCTACTCTTGCTTGGTTAAACGTTAGCCAGTTTCCTCAGGCCCACGACCTCGTCCATCAATCAGGGTGAAGCCAGAATAACCCCTCGAGTCTACTGGCAGATATGTGGCCACAAAAAGAAGATGTAGCGTATTAAGCCAGCACAAGTAGTTACCTGATCTAGCATTAAAATATAATTATTTATTTAAGATCCTCTTGAATCTTAATCAGAAAAAAAAGATAAAAATTGAGGTTACACAGCAAGACGCGCAGTATTGTGTCGGTCTGTCCGAATCTTGATATGACGACTGTGCTCGTTCGATTAGAAAGAGACAGAAATAAAGAGATTTGGCGACGGAAAACGTTAGACGTTTTCGTTACGTAACGGTTTCTACCCCTACCGCAAACACATTTCTTTTTCTTTCTCTACCTTTGTTGATAGCCTTGAGAGACTACTTCATCTTCGCCTTAACGTGTAGGTGAGCTTACGGGGCTCAAACCGGAAGTATTGCTAACACTAGCCTTAGCAAGAGCAGTGCTTCGCAGAATCTACCACCGGTATCGGAAACGCGACCCATTGAAAAGATCCGAAGTGAAACTCAGTGGGCTTAGCCGCAATCCACGATAAGGAAAAAAACGTTCAAAAAGTTATGAAGAATATAACAGGTATATTGAAGAAAACTTATGACATACCTAACGCTTCAAGTTTTAGATAAAGATAGAAAGAGAATGCCCTATCTCATTCCCGCAAAGCGAGATCATCACGGAATTAACCCACTTAACTGTTAAACCAATTCTTATAGGATACTTTTTTTTGTTGTATGGTCTAGAAAATTAGGGTTTTTTTTATTGCTTAGATGGGTGGACGAGCTCACAGCCCACCTGGTATTAAGTGGTTACTGGACCCAATAGACATCTACAACGTAAATGCGCCACCCATCTTAAGATATAAGTTCTAAGGTCTCAGTATAGTTAGAACGGCTGCCCTACCCTTTAAACCGAAACGCATTACTGGTTAACGGCAGAAATAGGCAGGGCGGTGGTACCCACCCGTGCGGACTCACAAGAGCACCTGCCACCAGTAAAAGCAACTATGGAATGGACAGCAGCATTCTTTGGGCGTCATACCAGGGTGTTGCGGTCACCAGGCGGCGTTTACTGGTGGTAGGACGTATTGTAAGCCAGCACGGATTAACTTGAGACACACAGCAAGAGGCGACGACATTTTCTTTCCCTACCTATTCGTTGGTAGCTTATGGGCTATTCTAACTACGCCTGAACGGGTAGGTGAGCTCACGGGCTCAACCTAAGCGAATTTGCTAGCTAGCTCTAGTAAGGGCAGTGCTTCGCTATATCTACCGCCGGATCCGAATCGCGACCCACTAAGAAGATCCGGCGAGAACCCGAGATGGATTAGGTACTCATGCCAAATTCCTATGCAGCGCGATGAGAGAGCAACCTGCGTTGACCACACAGAATGTGGGAGATTATGACAAGAAGAAGAAGAAGCACGTAATGAAACAAAAGCAACAGCACCAGTTTCGTTCACGGTGTGCATTTCAGTATCAATGTTATATTTATTTATTTATGTACACACAGAAAACAAGACACAGTACAGAGTAATAGGAAAATTATGTACAAAGGCACTGCTTATTTCTTTGAGAAATCTCTTCCAGCAGACCTGCGAGAGGATAATGATGAATAATAATAAAAAGTGATGATACTTGATGTGATGATACTATTATACTAATATCGCTGACGATAAAAACTTATTTACATTTCTTTCAGCAAATTCAGATCACCTGCCAATTAATTACTTATACACCAGCCCCATACAGAAGTTTTTTTTTTGTTTTTTTTTTTGTCATACCAAAAACGTCTTTAGTGAATTTACGAAAGGAAAGGAGAGAAAAAAAATAAACGAGCGAAAGAGAAAAAAAATCGGGTAGCTTTAACGCAGTTGCGCGCGCACTCCGATCGACCCAATAGATATGTGTTATCGTGTAGTCGCGGAGTAGCAGTGTTGGCTAGGCCGCCGCCACGGCCGGTCTTAGATGGGCGAGCTACAATATCCAGGCGCTGCCAGCGTCACGGACGACGAGAGGCAATACCGCGCCCCGTTCAGGCGAGCGCCCCAGTACAGGTGGCCAGCGCCCGCGCCCCCACAGCCCTCGGCCTTCGCCCCGTGGCGTAGAGCGCCCGCTCCGCCGCGACCGCCCGACTACAGACGCAGTGCGTCTTACCCAGGAAAGCCTGATGAAGGATTCCAGGTAAAGTCACGTTTTAAACGGCATTTCAAACATTAATGGAGTCACTCAGAAAAATATCGAGTTAGGGCGTTTTCAGTTTTTTTTAAGTCAACTAATCATAACGTTTCATGACGTGATATCAAAGTAACTACAAAATTTTTACGTTGTTTCCCATTGGTTTTAACACAATAACATTACAATTTTTTTATTTTTTATCGTTTCCACTATACTATAATATTGTAATGATTACAACGCGTATTTGTATTTTTCTCTAAAGTTTCCGAGTTTTCCGCGTGGATATGTGGTTTATTTGTCCACGTCACATCAAATACATAAAATGATACGCCATGAAATGGAAAATTAGAATTACGTAGGTACGTAGCTTTATTGAATGAAAAACGTATAGTGTCAGGTGAAAATGCAGCGTGATAATTAAAAGGTTTCCCCACCGGCCGTGAAGCGGCATGTAATTTTATGTTTTATTATTGTTTCTTTGACAATAGATTGTTTGCAATTTAAAAGGTATGGTCGGTACGATTGGTTTCCGACGCGATATTACGAATAAATCATTTTAAAAGCATATATAAGACATATATCTAATGCCTTAAAGAGAATTAACCTAAATTTTGTCCTTAAAACTATGAACATCTGAATTTTTATTTCACAGAGAAGTGTAACGTCAAATTTTTTTTTATTAAAATCATTTTGTTGAAAAATCATATGTATTCCGCCTACAAAATCAAATTCTATATTAATATTGATGAAAATTTAATTACAAATCATAAATATATCTGAAATGTTGTTAATAACCGCCTATTTTCTTTTTGAAGCAGCGAAAACACAGTTTCAGTTGCATTTTTAGTAGATTACTGGCGAAAATTAGACAAAAAAATTACGTTATTCATCTTAACAAAAATTATATTAAAATCATCGTAGTTACGTAATAATTGTGTTATTTAAAATGTTTATTACATTAGTTTTTTTTTTAAATAAAAACGTAAAACATAAACAACAATTGTTTGGACTGTCAGCAGTTTTTTTTTATAAAAATCAAAATCATTGTTAGATGATGTGTAGCTACAATCTTCAGACGGGTGTTGGGATGACGTAGGAGACATGTCTCTATCTCGCTCGCACGTTAGCACCGTAACATCAATTTTTAACAGACTTCAAAAAAGGAGGAGGTTCTCAATTCGACTGTATGGTTTTTTTATGTTTGTTACCTCATAAATTTTGACTGGGTCGATTTTGATGATTCTTTTTTTATTAGAAAGCTGACGCTTCCCTTGTGATCCCATTTCAATTTAGTCCAGTTCCGATAATGGTATCCATGAGAAAACCATATAAGTCTTAAATTTGCATTAGGTACGTGCGCGACAAATAGATGAATAACTCAATAACTCAATATCACGCCAACCGAATTCGATGATTATTGTTTTTAGTGTATATTCATTTATTTGTTTTGGAATATATATTTTTTTCTATTTGAAGTCGGCTTTTGTTAAAGCATGTCTATTTACAATTATATTAATTGTACTACAAATTAGATTCAAAAAAATTGCAATTCATCGATTTCCAAACCTAAATTTCATTTTCCTACCAACCTTCAAACAAAAATCGGAGCGCAAACAAATAATTACAATTTTATGTCTTTAAATCTGAATAGCTTTTACTGGTGGTAGGACCTCTTGTGAGTCCGCACGGGTAGGTACCACCGCCCCGCTTATTTCTGCCGTGAAGCAATAATGCGTTTCGGTTTGAAGGGTGGGGCAGCCGTTGTGACTATACTGAGACCTTAGAACTTATATCTCAAGGTATGTGGCGCATTTACGTTGTAGATGTCTATGGGCTTCAGTAACCACTTAACACCAGGTGGGCTGTGAGCTCGTCCAAACGTCTAAGCAAAAAAAAAATATGGCTGTTGTCTATCGTTTCTATGGCTGTTTATCTTAAAAATAGATAAAGGTTTTTGTTTTTAATTAGACTTTAAATTAGTTTTCGTATATTTTAACCGATTACTCCTTCATTGTTACATCGATTATGATTTTTTAAATTTATTTTAAAGATACACTTACTGTTCAAGGTTCCGTTTTTTAAATTAATTACGACATGAATAAGAAGGTGGTTCCCAATTTGACGGAATTTTTTTGTTTATGCTGTTCTCTTCTGAGGCAAAGAAGTGTTTTTTAAAGTGAGCCGATTTTGATTTTTTATATATTTTTATATATATTTGAAAACAACTTGCTTTTGGTACTTATCTTCTGGGTCCCATTTAATTTAATAAATAAAAAAATAATAAGATCCCATCAGTGGTCTTTGAATTATCTTTAATAATGCATACAAATGTAGTGTTCGACTAAATATAGGTTCAATCAAAAACATCGAACCGTTAATGCTAATTAATTAATATTACATGTATTATTAATTCATAATTTTAAAAAAAAATTGCATTCTGCACTCCTCCTCTATATTCTCTATAAATGTGGGAAATTACATACTCCTCCGTCCTCGCAATTTTCGTAACAAGGAGTACAAAGTTTTTGCTTCACGTATTAAATCCTATATATTCGTAGATATTGTATAGTCAACGGTCCTTGATGCGTGTGCTAATTTTCTAGTTCATTTGACATCTTGAAGTCGATGGAAATGACGTTCATAGATTTTGTTACAAACAAACATACATACCTAATGAAAACATGATAAAAATCCACGTTTGTCCTACAGAGCCCAAAAGATAGAGTACCTACATAGGGTGATGGGAGATATATGCTCCGCACTAAACGCTTTACTCTCCCCCCTTTGCCTTTTCATGAGTTTCTGTCTCATGTGAGGCTTGGACGTTGGTTGTTGAGCGACAGGAGGTTTTCGTCAGTTCGACTCTGACATGCCCCGTTCTCCATCCCCAGTTGAGGGCGGAAGTCCGGCGATTTCCTCCTGACCAAAAAAAAACTACTAGTGTAAAAAATGCACCCCAACTAAAAGTGATTATTGGTAGCGTTTTTAATACACTAGCGTCTTTGTTTTTGAATAATGATTGCATACAGTCTCCGTGGAAAAATCTGGACAACTCACGTTGCCTGAAGCAGTCACCGCCGTGAGAACCACCTTCTAACCCATAGACACAGACCACTGAATTTCTCGCCGGATCTTGTCAGCAGGTTGTGATTCCGATCCGGTGGTAGATTCTGCGAAGCACCGCTTTTCTTCTCATACCTTATCGCTGGTAGCATAAGGGGCTATTCCAGTTACGCCCGGGTTAGGTGACCTCACGGGCTCAACCTGAGAGAATTTTCTAACACTAGCCCTAGCAAGAGCAACGCTTCGCAGAATCTACCACCGGATCGGAATCGTGACCCACTGAGAAGATCCGGCGAGAAACTCATTGGGCTTACTTGGAAGGGCCAGTGTTAGCAAATTCTCTGTAAGGTCACCTACCCGTCAGGGCGTAGCTGCTTGGGCTACCAGCAAATAGATAGGGGTTTTTTTACGCTTACTTGGAACGTAACTTTGAAAGATAGACGATAGAAGTGGGCAGGAATGCACCACGATTCATTAGTGTCACGTGTAACGTGATGTCAGAAAATATCAAATATTATTAGACAAATAAGTTAATAATTACAATTAGAATACCATAATACGTTCATTTCTTATAATAAAAAATGTTGTAATGAATTTTTAATTACAATTTACAAAATAAATAGCAAAACTGAACACTTGTATTGATTAAATAAAGGTGTGACCTCGTACGGTGTGTCTGAAAACTCTCGGCTAGATGTAGGTCGGATCTGTGTCTGTTTGTGTACGAGAAGAGCTCGGGATCAGTACAGAGCTGCAGAGGACTGTGTCTATAGTAGTGTGGTATAGGATCCTCGGCTAGATGTAGGTCGGATCTGTGTCTGTTTGTGTACGAGAAGAGCTCGGGATCAGTACAGAGCTGCAGAGGACTGTATCTATAGTAGTGTGGTATAGGACCATCGGCTAGAAGTAGGTCGGATCTGTGTCTGTTTGTGTACGAGAAAAGCTCGGGATGAGTACAGACCTGCATTAAGCTAAAAAAATCCTGAAGTCATCAATATTAATGTAGAAAAACTCATTAAATTCCAAAAATAAACTGTATCATTGGTAATGATCACGCAACCTGCTGGCAACACCGGTATTGTCATCGTTAATTCGAATGTTCGCATAATTTTTAATGTTGCCATTTGCACGTCCGACGCCGGCTGAAAATGCAAACATTCGCCGAAAACAATAGCATTGTTTGTAAATTTTTTATGCTTTTCCTTTTTTTTATTTGTAACTGGCGGCGGGACTCTAGTAAGCATTTTGAGTGGAACATCGAGAATGAAATTATTTTTGTTCCATTTTCTACATACATTTGATAGACATTAGAAAATTTTAGGAAGTAAAACGAATTGAACATTGGTGAGGACATCAGCAGTGTAGCCGAAGTCAATTACATCATAAATCATCATCATAAATCATCAATGCATCATAAAATATAGCTCGGAAATATGTTATTTTTAATTAAAAACAAAACAAGTGATTTTTTCACTAATATTCCAGATAACTGCAATACTTGTAGGCAGCGGCTTGGCTCTGTCCCTGGCGTTGCTGAAATCTATGGGCGACGGTAACCACTCACCATCAGGTGGGCCGTGTGCTCAGCTGCCTTCAAGGGCAATAAAAAAAGAAAAAAAACAACATTATTCGCGTTCATTCCCATTTCATGATTAGTGTTTAATTATTTCATACAGACTCTTTAATTTTTATTTAATTTTTACCTAATCCAAACACATTTTTTCTTACCTATTCACTGGTAGCCGAAGAAGCTACTACTCCAGCTACGCGCGGATGGATAGGTGAAGGAGAACTCACGGGCTCAACTCGAGAGAATTAGCTAACACTATAATACACTAGCAAGAGCAGTGCCTCGCAGAATCTACAACCGGATCGGAATCCCGACCCGCTAAGAAGATCCGGCGAGAAACTCAATGGGCTGTGCCTATGGGAATCCAAACACA